ATGGGGCCCCACTTGGACACTTGCAGCCAGCAAGGGAGAACAGCTGATCTGTTCTTAGAAGCACAGATCCCACTATTGGTTTCCCTGATTGCAGGGTGGGGGGTGGCATGTCCGCACGAGGGAATGGCCACATTTTACACATAAGAGGCATTCCAGCATTGCAGGGGGTTGGACTAGATGCCCCCTGGGGTCCCCTCCCACCCTACAATTCTATCATTTCATGACATACAGATATAAGAAGAGGTTGATGGGCACATCTAGCCCAGCATTCTGTCCTCACACTGGTCAATTGCCCCAGAGAACCTAGGAAGCTAGGTAGGCTACCTCTTTGCCTGGAGGCTCCATAAGAGCATCATAAGAGCCCTGCTGGGTCAGGCCAATGTGCCATCTAGTCCAGAATCCTGTTCTCACAGTGGACAACCATATGCCCATGGTGGGAAACTTGCAGGCGGGATTCAAGCATAAGAGCCCTCTTCCCTCTTGCGTTTCCAGCAACTGGGATTCAGAACATTGCTGCCTTCAACACAGTGAAGGCAGAAAATGGCCATCATCTCCTAAAGGTAAAGGTAAAGGACCATTAGGTCCAGTCGTGACCAACTCTGGGGTTGCGGCATTCATCTATCTTTATTGGCCGAGGGAGCCGGCGTACAGCTTCTGGGTCATGTGGCCAGCATGACAGAGCTGCTTCTGGCAAACCAGAGCAGCGCACGGAAACGCCGTTTACCTTCCCGCCAGAGCGGTACCTATTTATCTACTTGCACTTTGACGTGCTTTTGAACTGCTAGGTTGGCAGGAGAAGGGACTAAGCAACGGGAGCACACCCCGTCGCGGGGATTCGAACCGCCAACCTTCTGATCGGTAAGTCGTAGGCTCTGTGGTTTAACCCACAGCGCCACCCGCGTCCCGGCCATCATGCCTAGCAGCTGCAAATAACCCCTTTCCCCTTCTAATGTGTCTTTCTCCCTGGCCACCATTTTGTATCTCTGCACTCATTCCAGGGCTCGTTGTGGGGTGAAAATGGGAGCAGCCACAAAAATGAAATGATGAAATATTTTTGCAAAAATATATATATTCTATGTGGGCCTTTTCCTTTTTCTTTTTCTTTTTCTTTTTGTTTTGTTTTGTTTTGTTTTGTTTTCCTGGAGGAAGGAGGGAAAGAAACATCTATAAAATTCTAGAGTTTTCCAGAGGAAAGGACTTTCATGGAAGGACTTTGCCCGGCTGGTGAGGCTTGCACAGTGGACATTATTGAATCATGGAATTGTAGACTTGGAAGGGACCCCTAGGGTGATCTGAAAAAATGCTCTGCAATGCAGGAATCACAGCTAAAGCAATCATGACAGATGGCCACCTGACCTCTGCTTAAAAGCCTCAAACAAAGGAGAGTCCACCACTTTCCAAGGGAGTCTGTTCCACCATTAAACAGCTCTTCCTCACAGAAAGTTCTTCCTTTCTTGTCATTTGAACCCATTGGGTTGGGTCCTCCCATCTGGAGCAGCAGAAAGCAAGCTTCTTCCATGTGACTCAGGTATATGAAGATGGCTCTCATGCTACCTCCAAACTCCCACAGCCGTTCCTCATAAGGCTTGGTTTTCAGACCCTTCGTCATCTTTAATCACCCTCCAGCTTATCAACTGGGGCACCCACAACTGGACACAGTACTCCAGGTGGGATCTGACAAAGGCAGAATAGTATGGCACTAATGCTTCCCTTGATACTTCTCTTGATGCAGTCTAGAACTGCATTGACCTTTTTTTTGCTACTGCTGCTGCATCATATTGTTAACTCATGTGAAGCTTGTGGTCTAACTAAGACCCCAGGATCCTTTCTGTATCTGCTATTGACAAGCCAGGTGTCCTCCATCTCACATTCCTGCAGCTGGTTCTCCCTGCTTAAGTAGAGAACCTGACATTTGTCCCTGTCAAAAGCAGCCTTGGCAGACCTAAGGAATATGTAAAGACAAGTATGATTTTTGTCTAGTTATATTGATATTTTTGCAACCCCATTTTTCTTTCTTTTCAGCTCATTTCCTTTTATGAAGTAGAGGAGACACTAGATATTAATATTATCTATACTGCATCTGCTGTCCATCAAAATGTGATTCACCAGTTCTCCCGCATTGTGTTTGTTTTATCGTTTTCTAAACTATGTGCAAAATTGATAAGAGAGTATTTTTTTAAGAAGTTTTGTTAGTTTTGGCCCAGTTCTCCAATCTGTTAAATTCATCTTGTGTCCCAAATCTCTTTTCTGAGGCATTACGTAGTTACCCCTCTCAGTCTGGTGTCATCTGCAAATTGGTTGAGCATCCCCTCAATTCCTTCACCCTAGTAATTTATAAAGATGTTGAACAACAACAATGGGCCCAGAACAGAACCTTGTAGCACCCCTCTTGTCCCTTTCCCCCCCAGGATGATGAGGAAAACCATAAGTTTGGGTTCGGTCAGCCAACCAGCTATAAACCCACCTAACAGTTAACTCATCTGGCCCACGTTTCTGACACACAGCAGGAACCTGCTTTACACGAAACAAATGTGGCATCTTATATTCCCTCAAATCCTTTCCACCAAGATTGCATGTGACAGAAAACTCAGCCTTTCTTCACATCTTGCGTGGTGACTGCCATATTAATTTCGCATGCAAGAGCAAGCAGAGGCACGGGGGCTATTCTCTGGATTGGTGTCACCAGAGACAGAGATGGATCTGGAGTGGAGGTGCAGCGTATGCTGAAGCAGGAGCAGAAGGCTGTTTACATTGCACAAACATCCCACTATGAGACAAAGAACGGTCTGTAAAATTGCACACCTAAAAACATGGTTATATATAGATATAAATTCTTAGAATCATAAAATTAAAGAGCTGGAAGGGACCAGAAGGCTCATCTAGTGCAACCCCCTGAAACGTAGGAGTGTTACATGTAGTCACATCAATTTTTCTCAACCCATAAGGGAGCAGCAAATCCAAAAATTCATAACGTAAGAAGTTTCCTGCTCAATTGGGTCAATGGCGCACCTAGTCTGGAGTCATGTTTTCACAGTGGTCAACCAGATGTCTCTGGGAAACCCACAAGGAAGAGCTGAGCACAAAAGCCCTGTCCACTCCTGCAGTTTCCAGCAACTGAGATTAAGCATTGCTGCCTCCAACTATGAAGGCATCATGGCTAGTTGCCCTCAATAGTCCTCTTCTCCATACATTTGTCTAATCTTCTTTGGAAGCTATCCATGTTTGTGGCCCTCACTGCCTCCTGCAGAAGGAAGTTCCATAGTTATCGATGCACTGGGTGAATGACTTTATCTGTCCTGAATCTTCCAGCATTCAGGTTCCTGGGATGTCCATGAATTCCAGCACTAGGAAAGAGGAAGAAAAGCTTTCCCTGTCCCCTTTCTCCAGGCTACGTGTATTTTTAGGATTTTTTATGATCCTCCCATTCGACTTTTTTTTCCTAACCCAAAAAAATCCCAAACACTGCAGCCTCTTCAGAGTTGCTTCGCCCTCTGTATCATTTTGGTTGCCCTTTTCTGAACCTTTCCCCCCAACTCTGCAACATCGTCTGGATGCTGAGGCAACCAAAATTGTACAGAGTTTTCTAAATGTGGCTACACCATAGATTTCTATAATGGTGAGTTACTTTGCCCCTTTGATCATTTTAGCAGGGTTTTCCTATCACCACTGCACCTTGCTTTATCGTCTTTCTGCTCAAAGACTCATGGAGAGGCACAATTAAAATACGAGAGACAAATGATCCTTTAGGGATCTTAAAGTGAATGCAAAGGACCACAAGAAACTCAAAAAGTGCCCTACAGATGTTAATTGCTGCTGTTCCCAAACCCCACTAATGCAGAGTACTGCCAATTAGGCTATGAATTATTTTCCAGGCCCAATTCAAAGTTCTGGTTTTGACCCTTAAAGCCTTATGCAGCTCAGGACCCCAATATCTTGAGGGCCATCTCTCCATCTTCTCTGGCCTCTCTAGATCTGCAGGGGTGGCACCTGATGTGCTGTCTTGCCTTGGTAATGGACTGGATGAGAGCCAACAAACTGAAGCTTAATCCAGATAATACAGAGGCACTGTTAGGGGGTGGTTTCCTAGAATGGATGAATGGGAGGTTGCCTCCTCTTGATGGGGTTACACTTCCTCTGAAGGAGCAGGTACATAGTTTGGGGATACTTCTGGATCCACTGCTGTTGCTTGAAGCTCAGGTTGGCCTCAGTGGTGCAGAGTGCCTTCCGTCAGCTTCAGCTGGTGGCCAAGCTGTGCCCCTATCTGAATAGGAAGAGGCTAACTGTTGTTAACTATGCTCTGGTAACCTCTACTGCAACATGTTATACATGGAGCTGCCTCTGAATATAGTTCAAAAACTTTGTCTGGTGCAGAATTTGGTGGCCATGTTGCTCGCTATACAATGCCAATTCTGGCCTGACTGCACTGGCTGCCAATCAGTTTCCAGGACCAATTCCAAGTGCTGATTTTGACCTTAAATGGCTCAGGACCGCAATACACCAAGAACTGCATCTCCCCATATGAGACCCAGACTCTGTGATCATCATCTGAGGCCCTTCTTCATGTGCCTCTTCTGTAAGACCTAGAGGAAGGCAACGTGAGAACGGACCTTTCTGCAGTGGCTCCCAGACAAAAACATTCCTATTTCATGATGCCTTTGTGTGCGTGGGATGCTTTAATGCTAAGGGGACCCCCCCCCCTTAAAAATGCTGATTCTAACATATATATGTGCTTGGATTTTGGTTGCTTTGACCAAAAAAAAAAAAAAGGGTGACTAATCATAGAATCATATAGTAGGAAAGCACACCAAAGGCTCATTTAGTTCAACCCCTTGCAAAGCAGAATTCCCAGCTAAAGAATAATAGAATTGTGAGTCTAATCTCCAACAGGTCATCTATTCCAACCCTTGCCATGCAGATACGACAGCTAAATTTAATATTTATTCCTTGACCCAGTTTCTAAAGGAGAACAACAACAACAAAAGACACAGAAGACCACCAAATTCCATAGGAAAAAATATTTTATTAAACAATATATCAGGCTCCATCATGGCACCAGGGAATCAAAATCCCGTTATTACTGATTTTACCAGTGACAATGATGTTATGATAACTGGGTGAGAACAGTGTGTGTGTGTGTGTGTGTGTGTGTGTGTTTGTGTGCATTGAATGAATGTCTATGAAGTGACAAGAATGTCAAGGAAAAATTAAAAAGATGTAACTGTTCCATTAAGTTTGATGACACCCATAGGGGCCCCAGCATTCCCTGAGCCCCTGGCACAGAAATCTGACAATGCTGGAAGCCAGGATGGGATCAACCAGTGGCAGCCTAAGCTGCTGCATTCTATGCCCCCCACCCCACCCCCAGCATAAAAACCCAGGGGGGAAACCCTTATGTGAGGGAGGGGTATTAAACTAAAGCTTCAAGTTCCCCTACCGCCTGCCCGCCCGCCCCCAGTGAAAACATACTGAGGGAAATCACAAAAAGGGGAACTGTTTTTCAAAACCTTCGTCCCACGGGGGGGGGGGGGGGCGGGCTGGATGTTGCAAAATTAGGGTGGTAGAGTTGGCAGGGGTGGGCCACCCACCTGGACCACCCAGGCGAGTGAAGGAGACTCACATCCAAGGGAAGGAAAAAACGGAAGGTAGCATTTATCACAGAACTGCAGGGTTGGATGGGTCCCAGAGGGCAATCTGGCCCAACCCCCTGCAATAAGGGAATCACAGCTGAAAGTGGCATGGGATGAGGTGGCTCACGAAGGATGTATGTGGATGGGTGCAAGGCATGGCACTCTCTCTTGAGAGGCTGTGTGTACTAACACAGTAGACACTCAACCCCCTATGAGATGGGCTGGTTCACGTCTCTGAAAGGTCAAAGATGCTGGGCTTGGAAGTGTGTAGATGGCTAAGCTTTTAGCACAGGTTAACACACACTCAGCCTCATCGGCACAGCAGTCCTACCTCCCAGGGCTGGCGTGAATGAAGGGGGTTCTGCAGTCCCAGGCGGGCACGGCTGGTGATATGCTTTGCTTACATGCGGTCGGGGAATTTGGGGGGGGGGGGGGACTAGCTGGATGCAAAAAGTGCTGATTCCGGGAGAAGAGAAGACACTGTACTTAAGAAGAGACCTTGGCTATCAGTTACCAGAATTCAGGAGCCTTGCAGCTTCACAGTGCTCATTTGCACAGGAGCGGAATAAGGCTGTGGCCGTGACTTCTGCTCTCCCAAGTCTGACCTGGCAGGGAATGTAACCAGGACACAAAGCCGTATGTTGGAATCAGAGAACTGTAGGAAGGGACTCCAAGGTTCATCTATTCCAGCCCCCTGACCACTAGAAATTGTGCAGAGCCAATTTATTTCTGAAGGGCAAGCAGGGAACCTAACAATTTCAGGGGGAAATGACCAGCACCCTAAAGGAATTTCAGCTCCAGGGAAGGCTGGAAATATTTATGAAATGCCATTCCAGCCCCATCCAAACTGGCCATCCAGTTCTGCTGGGGCAGGGGGAGAGGACTGTGACAGATGCAGGACTCCAAAATGAATCTGAAACAACCATTTTCAAGCAGAGGTTTTGTTTGCCAACCCAGAGATTTCCAAATGGTCAGTGCCCATCCCGTGTCTCTTCTCCTCTCCCACAGAATTGTAGAATTTGAAAGGACCCCAAGGGTCACCTAGTCCAATCCCCTGCAACACCATCTGATGATGCCCTTTTTTTTTTTGCACTGGGACTGTTTTTTTCCGCTGTGGATTCCCCGCCTGGCTTTTGGGAGGGTAGCACGCAGGCAATGACACCCCATGTTTGATGGATGAACCCTGCTAAGCCGGACTGCAGCATGACAAAATGTTTTACACCCGTTCTTGTGTTTTTTGTTTTTTTTTTAGGTTCTTATTTGTTTTGTTTTGTTTTGTTTTGTTTTTCTAAGAAAAAGCAACCAGAAAATAATCCAGAGTTTATACAAAACATCTTTACATTATATTTTTTTCCCAAAAAAGACTAGATATTTACACAAAATAAAACCTCAAAAATACAGAAAGAAATGTTCTTCTGAAGGGGCGGGGTGGGGAGAACAACAACAAAGAAACTGTTTTAGGACCCATTAAGTCAGACACACACAAAAATATCTGATCCTCCTCCTCTCCCCCATTCCCCTTTTTTATTTGGCTGCCCACAACTGGATGAGTTTGTTCCCTTTTGGACGAGGACCAAAACTAACCTTAGCGTTGGAACCTCCTGCAAGTGATTGCGCACAAACCTATGGCGACAAGTGATGTCAGGAAAGATCTTACTGATTACGGTGGCAAGGATCACGGACAGGAGGAGGGCAAAATTCCCTGCAAAGTCAGTTTTATGGAGGGGAACTGCCTCCCATGTCGTGGTGGACACGTACGTGTGTTTGACGTATTTCCCTCTATATGCAAAGATGAAGAATATGCAATTTCCACGGTTTTCTTACAGGAAATCAAGTTTCTCAACGTAGCACATTCAAAGAGAGTGATTTCAGTTCCGTTCAGCCTGCCATTTCATACCTTCCTGTTTCTTGTTTGCCTCCCCCCACAGGATCTGCTATCTAAGAAATGTATCTATAACCCCCCCCCTTAAAAAAAATAGCAAAAGAAAAACCCTGGCCCCCTTTTTAAAATGTCGTTTTGAGTCTGACACAAACTCTCCCTGACTTGGAAAACAGTGTGATGGCATGGTAAAGCCAGCCTGGATTTGGTAGTCATTGATTTCCAAAAGTCGCTGAACAGACTCTGGGACCCCGCCTGACCTGCCAGTTAAATCAAGAAAACGGACAGATGTATTTGTCCAAGGCAGTATGATTCGAGAAACCTATTTGTGCTGCAGGGAAGGTAAGAAGCAAAATGCAAACCACAAAACCTTAGGCTGAAACCAGCATCATCCTTTCCAATCTAGACCTGTGGCTGGCATTTCCTGCAGATATATCTACCACCCATGGATGGCCCATGGCATTTTGCCGCTTGAGGCAAAACAGAAAACAGTTGTCCCTCATGCCATCTGCTCCACTGCTGCTGGAGGCGGTTTGGAGAAGCCCCAGTGAGTGGAAGAGGAAAAAGGATGGAGAGAAGCAGGGGTGGCAGCAGCAGAGACGATGGTGGAGGTGGGAGAGAAGCAGAGGAGATGGGTGGGAGTGCTTCTCTGGGCCGAATCTGCTGTCCCTTCCCAGCCTGCCACCTGAGGCGAGTGCCTCACTATGCCTCATGAGTGTACCAGCCCTGCTACCACCCACATTCTAAGACAGAGGGTTCTCTCCCCCTCCCCCAACAAACACACACTGCTTTGAACAGCCTCAAAGGACCCTGCATTTGTGGCACCAAGAAAGGGATCGTTTGTATTAGAAGGAATGGAGAGATTTTCCAAAAAAAAAAAAAAAAAAAGGAAGGAAGGAAGGAAGGAAGGAAGGGGGGAAAGCTTCAATTCTTTTTTAAATAAAAAATAATAATAGCAACAACAACAACAACAATAATAAAAGAGACTGTTGGTTATTTGTGGAGTCCTGAGAAACCTGCCTCCTTGGCTGATCTCCACGGAGCATGCCTGAAAAAGTGCAAGGTTTACCTAAAGCCCTTACAGGGTTTCCCACCCACCAACAGCTTCCGGATCCTGCATAGAGATGGGGGGAGAGTCAGTGCATTGGGGATGGGGCGGTGGTGGTGGGGTGAAAGGCAGGAAGAAGCCAAACTGCATTGGACATGAAGAAGGTGCAGCTGAAGTAGCCCAACTGGGGAGACCTCAAGAGATTAGCTGGCTGTGTTTGGGTGTGGGTGTGTGATATGTGCGCCTGCTCAATTCTTCCCAAGTCCATCAAGCCTCAGATTATTGCCTTGAGCAGAAGTTTGTATCAAAAGGGAAGGCAGAGAGGGTTTAAGGGCATAGCATGCTGGCAGCTGTAACGGGGGTGGAGGGCGCCCTGCTGCAGTGTCTCCAGCTCCCTTCAAGGCCTTCCGAGACCACCTGGCCTAGTCAGTGTGAAAGCAAAATCTACCTATGAAGTGGAGAAATAAGGCTTTGATGCAAGCAGGGACGGCAGGCAGCTACAGCCTCAGGGAGGCATGGGTGCTAGGCCCATAGGTGTGATGGAGGAACAATGTCTGTGTGTCTCTCTCTCCCCCAGAGTAGTGGGGGCAAACCAGGCCTGGGCCTGGGGGCAAGGGGGGGGTCCTCCTCCCCTACACAAAGTAAGGCCTCTGGCATGACAAATTCAACCCAACAAATTGAGGGCAAATGGCTCTCATTTGGGGGGGGTGCCCCCAAACCTTTAGAACGTCACAGCCCAGTTGTGGATCAGGCAGATTGGGTGTGTTAGTGATCAAGTGGAGTGCAGGGCTCCCCACCCATGGAAAATGTGCTAACCCATCTGGAGACATGGGACATGGGGACAGGTTGGTGGGGAGGTGTCTGTCGCCAGACGACAAAAGGAAAAGGTTGGAGCAGGGTCTTTGATTGGCGCTTCTGCCCTGATCTGAGCACCCAGCTGGGAATGCTGGTGTGATCAGAGGAGGAGCTGAGCCCCGCTTCTAGTGCACAGCAACAGGGGCCAGGATTCCCGGAGTGCCAGCCGACCATCAAGATTTGTTCCCTCTCTTCCACACGTGAGGCAGCCAGCCACAGGACAGGCAAGATTCCCCACCCCAACCCCCAACTCTCCTAGGGGTTGTGGAAGCCACGGCTGCGGTTCCTTCCACTGAGGATGCGCCTCAAAGTCAAGAAGTCTGACTGCAATGGGCTTCAGCTAGAACAGCCATGTTAAGTTGGGCTCTGTCCTATTGCAATAGTATCTCATAAACTCCGAGCACCTAACTGGATCTGCTGAAGCTTGCTGTAATGGTCTTGGTTCCGTGTTTTATTTAAAAGCTGTTCCCTCACTTGGGTAATGAACTGGTGGTGGAGAAAAAAATTCTTACCACACCCTGGGCAAATAAGAACCTCAGTGCTGTTGCTAAATGGGCTAGTGGGTGACATCAGTGATGGGCTCTCTCCCTTCCACACCATATGGAGTTTGTCTGAGGGATGACGTGGTCCAAAAGTCTGTCTTTTCCGACAGAATTTTTTTGGGGGGGAGGCGTTGCTGGGTTTAGATACAGACCTCTTGTGAGAACGGATAAGGTGACGGCTTTCTCTCTCTCTCTCCCAGCCCCCTCTTGGCCTCAGACAACTGGCTTTTGTCACTCAAAACCATTTGAGACTGAATCGCCCCTCCAGCCTCAAAGTTCGTCAACTCCTCTGAGCTCACTGCTTGCTGGACACACCACGCCAGCAATGTTGGGATGCCTGAGAGAAGCACTTTTGCACACCTCAAGGCAGCTTCTGCGGAACAGAAAATGATTATCTGCACAGGCCTGCACATGCATCCCTTTGTTCTCACAAAATCCCTCAAAACTTAAAGCAGACTGTGTCATGTGGCATTTTAATTGGTGCCAAGAACCAGGAAGCAACGTGGTCTTCAGTGCCGGAGCCCCCTGCCTCTGAAAAAAAAAGGTTGTTAACAGTCCCTATCTGTACAACTTCCGAGAGAGATTAAGGGCTCATCCGCATTTTTGCTTGACACCGTATTTTGATCGTATCATGGACCGATTCATTCCCTCAGGTCTAAGAGCTTTTCTCGCCGTTCTGCGGCTGTACCTTGTGAAAATCCGGTCTTACCCAGTGAATCAGATCTTATCAGATATGTGGAAAATCTGAAGAGGGATTTTGCTTACCTGAGCTTCAGATCAGCGGGTGAGATTGGATTTTCGCAAGGCACAGCTGTGGAACAGCAAGGAAAGCGCATAGACACAGAGGAATTAATAGGGACAAGATGCATTCCAAATAAGGGCCAAGGAAAAGTGTGGGCGAGCTCTAAGAAGCAGGATGAGGACACTAGAAAGGGTAAAACAGTGGGCTTGATTCCTAATGCCTAGGGTCACTGGGTTAGAGAGCAGGTGCAGGCCTCACTGTACAGTGGTACCTCGGGTTACAGACACTTCAGGTTACAGGTTCTGCTAACCCAGAAATAGTACCTCGGGTTAAGAACTTTGCTTCTGGATGAGAACAGAAATCGCACGATGGCAGCGGGAGGCCCCATTAGCTAAAGTGGTGCTTCAGGTTAAGAACAGTTTCAGGTTAAGAATGGACCTCCGTAACGAATTAAGTATGTAACCAGAGGTACCACTGTATTGGTTTTTCGTCCATGGAAAATGCAAGTGCTGAACTTTGAGATTCTGCTTTCCTTGCAGCAGCAAAACACACCTTGTAAGCCAGTGGTTCAGTTCTCCCTGAACGGTCCCTGCACAGGAGGAAGGTGGCAGCCCATGTCTCAGACAAGATACAAGGCAGCATCCCAAACGACCCTTCCCAACACCCATTACACACATGAAGCCTCCCTTTCTGTCTGTCTCTTGCTGACTATTGCAGACCTTTATTTTAATTTTAAAAATCTTTTTCTGTTTTCTAAACTAAAAATAAAGAAGACAGGCCCAAACCGGAGAGAGACGGGGAGAGAGAGAGGGAGAGAGCGAGAGCGCTGCTCCGAACGTCCAAGAGCAGAAGCTCAAAATGGCAAAGAGGGTCATTGGAGGAGAGGGGAGGATGCCGGTCTCCAGGGCCCTGGTGCAGCTCCTGGCTGGGGGAGTTATGTGTGTAGCAAATAGTTAAAAGAAGCTTGGGAGGCTGGTGGCAGTGACTCTGAGTTCCAACATTCCGCGACTTCAAAAGGAAGTTACAAAAAAGTTGATGTCGCAGGAGAAAGTCAGGACCAGACACCTCCCCTCGCTTCGCAGGTTCTCCATCTTTGCCACACTGGCAAACAGCTCCCTTTCCCAACTTATCCTGGAGACCAGGTTTAAGGACAGCTGACCTGGCGTGCACAAACACACACACATTTACACCCCGCCCTGAGAACACCTGAAATCATAAAAACTTGGGAGTAGTGGAATCGAAAACAAAAAGGGAAAGAGTAAGTGACGGCGACGGCAACGTTCCCTGGACATGTCCGAAGAGCGAGGGAAAAGGCACAAAGCCCAAGCACGGACAGCGGTACGTGCTGGGGGGGAGGGCGGCGGCGAAGACCTCGGCACTCCCGAGGCAGGAGGGTCTGCTGGCGAGGTCCTTCTTCCTCCTCCTCCACCTCAACTACAAAATCTCCGAACTACAAAACTAAATTACTGGAGAAGAGGGAGAAGGGCGTGAGGGGCAAGGGTGCTCTGCGCTTCACCGTGGCAGCGGGTGGACCGCCTCCCGCTCTCTGCCGTGCAGTGCAGTCGCAAGCACGTTTCGGGCAGGAGTGGTTCCTGGCAGAGGCCGCCCTGCCCCCCTGTGCCCCAGTTTCTAGAAAGCATTTCCAAGGCTGCTGCTCCCTCAAACCTTGTAGTAAATGTTTGCCGGGCTCTGCGGGGGCATCTCCTGGACAATGTAGACGGGGTGCCCGTAGTCCCCGCTCACTTTCTCGTAGTGAGGGCAGTAGTTGTTCTCTGTAGTCCGCAAGGGGATGATGATGTCGCTGGGCTCCGAGCCGCCGCTGCCGCCGCACTTGGGGCTGGCCAGGGTGCTGAGCGACAAGGCCTGTGCCCGCTGCTGCGTATGCTTCCGGTGGCGCTTGCGCAGCTTGATCAGCAGGACCACGAGGAAGATGATGATGAGGATGAAGATCACGCAACCCGCCCCAATGGCGGCGAAGACAGCCACCTTGGAGCTGAAGAAGCCGTTTCCCGGGCTCTGGCCATCCTGGCCGTCCTGGTTGACGTGGTCTGGGGGTGCGAGGGGAGGAAAGAGAAAGATGGGGGGAAAGAAACTTTGGTGAATTGGCTCTGGGCTTGGAAGAGGTTTCTAGAATAGCAATCAACCTAAATCTACTAACCAAACAAAATTAACCTTAGCGATCTTTAAAAGAAGCTGGATATATTTTGAACCGAATTCATAGTTTTATTATAAAGTAGCATGAAAAAATGCAAGCTCTGATACCCTTAACAAAGTTTTGTTAAAAACAATGGGGGCAGGATATGTGTTTTTTTGACATGGGAAGGGTTTGTGTGCCAACATCTCATTCCAGTATCTTTTTAAAGGGCTGAATTGATCCATCAGTTACAATAAGCAATGTAGAGTGCAATTTAAAAACTAATCCTCTACTACCTAATTGTTGGAGGGGATGTAATAAACTCGGTACAGGAATCCCCTCCCCACTAATCTGCATTCTATTATGTTTCAAAACCTCCAATTTATCATGGAATCGTAGAACTGCAGAGTCAGAAGGGACCCCACAGGTCATCTAGACAAACCCCCTGCAATGCAGGAATCGCAGCTAAAGAATCACAGGATTGTGTGTTGGCAGTAGGCCACAGTCAAAGGGGCTGCAAATGTGCTGTGCTGGATTCGATTTGGGATCTTGCAATTTTGACGAGCTCATGTGTGTTTGTTTTTCTTTTAAAGGAAAGGAAGTTACTAGTTGTCCTGATTGTGTGCATGTCACTATATTACAGTTTGTCACCAAAACTATTATGTATTACCCATCCTTGTTTCTCAAGAAGAAAAAGAAAACGAAAGAAAGAAAAATAAAATATAGTGGCATGGGTATGGGGGTGGAGAAGGATCATATAAAATTCTATAGTGCTGTGAATGAAGTAAAAGGAAACTTAACTGTTATTTACATTTTTTTATGCTTGTGAGAACTAGTATCTTCCTTTCCTTTAAGAAAGACCTGACCACTTTCCCCTTCTTTTCCTGCCACCCAGCACCAAGCCCCTCTTGATCTCACACCACGGCACACCCTCTTGACCAACCTACTGGTTTCCTAGTTGCCGCTTTGCACAAATATTAAGGCAAGGAAGGCAGTAAGAACGCTCTAAATAGGGAGGAGCTGATCCAGAAAGCGTGTAGCATTGAAATGAAACTGAGGGAGGCAGAGATCCAGGGACTGATGGAAGATCCAGACTGCAACAGGGACCAAGAGGTGAACTTCCTGGCATGTGCCACTTTCCTGGGTGCCTTGGCAGTGATTTATAATGAAGCTTTGTGTTCGTAAAAGTGGGTCCCAGTGGTGTCATGGTTTCACGTCCAATAAAATTTAAGTTTTGAAAAGCTGTTTTTAAAAGATGAAGACGACCCCTTCCTGAAACCATGGAGAGTCACTGCTGCCAGTCCATGTAGACAAGATTGAGCTGGATGGATCAAGAGTGTGACTCTATACCAAGGCAGCTTCCTAGGTTCCTATTTAAATCAGGCCTTTATTCATGAGGACAGGAGCCTTATTTTTAAAAGAAGGGTCATGGCGAAAGCAGCTATCTCTATTCCTATGGGGAAGTAGCTCAGTGGGAACAGAGCACTTGCTTTGCCTGCAGAAGGTCCCAGGTTCAATCCCCAATTGGCATCTCCAAGTAGGGCTGGGAGAGAGACCAATTCCTGAAACCCTGGAGAGGAGTTGCTGCCAGTCAGTGTAGACAAGGCAGAGTGAGATGGACCAAGGGTCTGACACTGCAGAAAGTAGCATCCTATGTTCTTTTACAGCAGGAAAAACAGTTATTTTGTGAACAGACAACGTACATAAAAATGACTCTGTGGCGTCATTTTCTGTGACGCAGAAATGCTGCTTTGGAAACTAGAGGCAGGCAGACCCAAACTGACCATGCTGAAGATCCTAGTGGGCAAAACCTGTATTTTCATAACTTTATACTTGCAAGGGGCTGGGTGTTTCCAGGAATGAGTACTTTTGTTTCACGGAAACACTGCACCATGGAGTGCATGGTCTGAAATATCTCCCTGCATCATGGGATTTATAGTCTCAAACATTTCCCTGCATTGTGGGGTTCATGGTCTGATTCCTATGCTCCTGCTCTGTACCTGGCTTCCCAGGGTCCTCCACAGGTGGGAGCCGGTTGCGTGGGCTCTGTGTGGCAATTTTGACTGTATTGTCAGAGTCCTTGCTGGGCCGGCTGGTCGTCAGCTGCTCAGGCATCACAGCATTCGGATCTAGGCACAAAGACAGAAAAAATCGGGATGATAAAACTGGGCCCAGAAAGAGGACATAATCTCTCTTGCTATGCACCTGACCCTTTGGGAGGTGAGTACCAGGTCAGATTATTTTATCAGCAGAGGAGCATGCAAGGTTAGAGCATGCAAGGTTAGGTTGCTGCTGGGTGTCAGTAGGGGAGCATGCATGGTTACAGCATGCAAGGTTATCAGCAGAGCATGCAAGGTTATCAGCATGCAAGGTTATCAGCATGCAAGGTTATCAGCAGAGGAGCATGCAAGGTTAGAGCATGCAAGGTTAGGTTGCTGCTGGGTGTCATAGATCAGGGAAGTCAAGCAGGTGACATGCACTTAAGAGGTGGAAGGAATCCATACAACACTAAAGGATAGGAGTCTGACTTTGAGTTTGACCTGCCACTCTACAATCACATGATTCTATGACCTCTGTGCTTCTAGTCCTCATGATTGCATATTCAATAGCTTGGAGGGCTGTGCAATGTCTGTGAAGGTCTCAAAGCCCCACAAAGCAACGGGGACTGATTCATTTGGTCTGAATTCTGGGGTCTTAGTGTGCGTGCCATGCCTCATACACCGGTGGCTATATTCCCTTCCCTACTTGATATATCAAAGTCTCACTGAACTACCAACTTTCATTTCAACCTGTTGAAAAAGAAAGTCAATGTGTACCCATGAAGCTCAATCATAGAGTTGGAAGGGACCCCAGGGGTCATCCAGCCCAACTCCCTGCAATGCAGGAATTGCAGCTAAAAAATTCCTAACAGGTGGCCATCCAACCTCTGCTTAATTACCAACAATGAAGGAGAGTTCACAATTCTGGCAATGAAATTAGGTTTTGGTGCAAGCCCAAATATCCTGAGCCACAGTGCTCTCAAGCCCCTGGACTTCTCAGTTGGTGGGACCCTCTCTTCTGAAGGAGGCAGGGTTTCCAGACAAGGGGGTGGGGAACAGAGGTGGTGGAGGCAGCACTGGGAAAAGTCTGGTGTCTAGCAGCAGATCTGATTGCATGCGGTTTCCACTTGGCAGGTCATCTGGTTCCTCTGCCCTCTTTTCTTTTTTGAGGAGCAAGACAATTTCTCTGCTATTTCAGAAACTGCTGCGGTCTCGCCTCCCTGCCTCCTCAGTGTCCCCTGAGCCTGAGCAAAGGGAGTGTCAGAGAAACAGGAATCTGTTTCTTTGGCTCCTGCAACTGCGGCTGATACTCTAAACAATGAAAGAACACAAGAGAAGCCTGCTGGATCAGGCCAGGGGTGGGGGTTGGGGGGCATCTAACGCAGAATCCACTTCTCACAGCAGCCAGGCCCATTATGGGAACCCTGAAAGCAAGATATGAGCACCCTTCCCTCCTGTGGTTTCCATAGCAGCATAGTAATGTAAGAAGAGCCCATCTAGTCTGGCATCTTGTTCTCACACTGGCTGCCCAAAAACCTAGTATGTGAAACCCACAAGAGGGATCCGAGCACAAGAGCATTCCCACTCCTGCGGTTTCCAGGAACTTATATTCAGAAGCATGACTGCCTCCAACAGCGGAGGTGGAGGAAAGCCATAGTGGCAAGCAGCCATCGCTAGCCCTTTCCCCCACGGATTTGTATGTTAGAGCCAGCCAAGGAGGTGGGCATCACCGCCTCCTGTGGGATGGAGTTCCCTGGTTTAACTATGTGCTGTGTGGAAAAGTACATGCAGGCCCTCCTATCCGCCCGCTTGTTAGCCGCAAACATAAACGCCCAAATATCGCTGTATACACACAGCAGATTCAGATATTTGAACAGCCAGACCTTTGCCCACTTCCTTACTTCCTTGCTTCTTAGTTGGCAGAAGCCATTTTCAGGCAGAACCCACAAGGAGGGAGGGAGGGAGGAAGCAAGATTGGGTGAATCAGGGAGCAGGAGAGCTAAGGCAAATCGTTTCTTTCTCCTTTCTCTTTTGCTGGTTGGCTGCAGCCATTTTAGAAGTCTTCAGTCAAACTACTCTGAGCCTCCTCTTAAGCCAGTAAATAAATGCAGCCGGTGAAGAAGAAGAAGAGGAGGAGAGCACAGGGTTGGAGGAAGTGGGGGGCAGCGCCTGCCTCGTCCTCCTCACCGCTCTTCCGCTCAGAGTGGAAGACTGAATCTGTTCCAGATTCCAAAGTCCGGAGGAAGGGAAGCCTTCAGCTGCTGGTGGGGGCCCTGTTGCTTTGCCTTTTACACATAACTGCCCTTCAATTGCTGCTAGTTTACTGTGTGGCTTTAGCTGTAATCTCCCTCACTCTTGTGAGGTATTCCTCAGATTCCCCAGAGGGCAGGTATGTGCAAAACAAACAGAACAATTAACGAAATGAGGTCTTCCTCACGACACCTTGGACACAGGCATTAAGGCAGAAGCTCCCACCGACTCCTCAGTATTATTATTAATATTGTTATTTGCATTCCTAATTGGCTGCTTACATTTGAGCAGGGTGGGTGGGTTTACAAGCATGTACTGTTTTCGGAAGGAAGGAAGCAGCCCTTCTTCCCAGCAACTTCCTTAGTCAAAGTTGTGCCTTCAGAAGGAGAGGAGAAACCAGCAGAGCTACTACCCCAGAAGCCCCAGCAGTGCAGATTCCCTTCCTCGGAGCTGGCTGTGGAGGCACCCCGCAAGGATGCTGCAGGATAGAGCGGCCTGCAGACTGCCCTCTTCCCTTGTCCACCAGAAAACATCTTGCATGCATGTTAAACCACCCTGTTTTATAGAATCACAGAGTTGGAAGGGATCCTCAAGGGTCATCTAGTCCAACCCCCTGCAATGCAAGAATCAGGTGCTCACAGCCAGTCCCGAGGACCGATTCTTGACCAAGTTCCCAAACCGCAGGAGAAATCGCATGCAAAGGCTTGGCAACTCACCCTGGCCCACTTTCATTATGATCTTCATGGAGCGTGTCTGGCAGACCCCGCCTTCCCGGTTCTCCAAACCCTCCAGAGACCCATTGGATGTAGCTGCAAAGCAAGAGGAGATTAAGTAAGGGTTAAGGTGATGCTACACACCCCACCCACCATATTATTACTAAGTCTAATTTGTTCGTTTGTTTACTTCAGAATTTATACACAGCTTGCTTGCTTTAAAAAACTCTCAAAGGGGTTTACAAACCCATAATAACACCATCAGGGAAAAGAACCTTAAAAGTGACTCATGTAATTCTTTCAAAACATAAAATCAACAGTAAACTGAAAACAGAATAAAAAACATCCCTCTACATTCTACAAAATTAAGTTGCCTTGCCTAAACAAAAACTGTTCCAAAGTGTATAGGTTCTACCATACTAAAAGAACGAATTCTCACAGGTGCTGAATGCGCATTATGTGACAGCTGTAACGGTGCCAGTTCCGCCAATTGAAGTGGTCAAGTATGTGGGATATGGTGATCTTACAGGTAAACTGGTCCCCAGTTCTTAAGGACTTTATACATTAATAGTAACGCCTTGAACTCAGCCCAGTAGGAAAAACTCCACGTAGAGTACATAACTAGAAATGATCAGCCATGCGTTAGAGAAATTGCACATCACTGACTCATTCATCCACAAATGGTGGTGTTAAAAGTGGCAATGCCCCAAAGTCTTTTTGTTTTAGGAAAAAGCTTTTTTTGTGAAACATGCCTTATCACAAAACAAAATATCCGTTTGGATGCCAAAATAGCACCTCTATTGTACTACTCAGAAACGTCTCAACAATGGGGATAAGGATCTCATTGCTCATCTGATCGACTGCTGCACAGCTTACTATTTCATGGTATTGCACAACAGAATTGTATAGTTGGAAGGGACCCCAAGGGTCATCGACTCCAACCCCCTGCAATGCAGGAACCAAAACAAAATGCAGACCTGTTTGCAATCAATCAATGCACCTGCAACGCAGGAAAACATGGTTATGGGCCTCTGAGAACAGAACTGGTGGAATGATACCTTATCCTAACAACTGAAATGTAATTAAATAGGCATTTGGTGCTTCTGCGGCAGGTGGGGTGGTTGAAAACGGATTGTTGCTTCTTGCATAAATATGTGGAATTAACAATAATTTAAAAATTGGAGATGGTGCAAAGGAAGGAGAGATCTCAGGTACTGATCTCTTGCAGGTGGCACCCAAGGAGGCACTGCATGGGGCACAGAGACGCTCACAGGTGTGGTGTGCAAAGGGAGAGGAGGTGTGGCTGGCAGCAGTGGCACTAGCGCTCCAGGGAATGGTGGATTTCAAATGGTACACCCAAGCGTCATCTAGTCCAACCCCCTGTAATGAAGGAACCACAGCTAAAAATCCCTGACAGGTGGCCAACCAACATCTGCTTAGAAACCTCCAGTTTCATAAAAATTGTTTTCTAAAAAAAAGAAAAACCCACAGGTAAAACACAGAAAATGAAAAACATGTAAAATATAACAGTTCAAAAGTAATTAAACCACAACAGAATCGAAAAGATCAATTTATTGAAATAACGTTAGTAAAAACGGCAAAGCACTATTAAAATGCCCTTTCCTTAAAAAGCACTCAGTTCCCATAAACCCAGAAGAAGGGCTTTGCCTGCTAGTGGAAGGATAGCCAGGAGGGAGCCAGCCTGGCTTCTCTAAGGAGGGAGATCCTAAGTTGCGAGGGAGTAGCCACCAAGAAGGCCCCGTCCCACATCCTCACCAATCATGCCTATGAGAGGGGTAGGTCTGAGAGAAAAGTAGCCTCCAAAAATCTCAAAGCCCAGGCAGATTCATGAGATACCCTGCTTTCCAGATATACGTCATAACTATCCCTTTGAATTGTGGCCAGGAGCAGACTGGTAGCCATTGGAACTGTTGCAGCAAGGGAGCTGTCTGCTCCCTATAACAAGCCCCAGTCAGTTTCTGAGCACTTTTCAAAGGCAGTCCCACATAAAGTGTGTCACAGCAGTCCTGACAGAATGCAATTAAGGCATGTGTCCATGTGGCCAATTCAGATATCTCCAGGGACAGGTACATCTGAGTTAACTAGGGCACTGAAGCAGATGGAGTGTCAGGCACTTGGGGTAGGGTGGAAATCTGGGTTCAAATCATAATCTTGTTGGGATACCTTAAGGTGTAGGAAAGTGATTTAAAAAACAAAACAAAAACCCTGCAAATCCATTACAGGCGGCAACCATTTTTGCACGTGTGACATCCACTGACGCATACATCGCTTTCGATCCTGGAAGGGGGCGGAACTGGGTTACGTGAGACCACTGATGCATGCAACGACCTGGAATGCAACCCCCGCAAAACACACAAACACAACCCCAACTCATGCTTGCATTCACAATCAACAGCATACACACATCCATCTCAATTTGCACATGAAGGTCAATATATATGCCATCCGAAAATGAATCCCAATGGTGTCTAAGTTTGTTCAAATGCAGCAAAAATACAAGAGAGAGGTTTTCTTAAAAGGGGGGAGGGGAGCAACCAACCTCTCAGTCAACTTTCAATATTATTGTCTGTACTCTCCAGGCTCCAGCAAATGTATCCCAGACACAGAACTAAGGGTGGGACTGTGCAGAGAGGAGAAGGAGCAGGAGGAGGAAAGGGCCAGTAGAGGCATACAATTGGCATGGAACCCCCAAGGGCAATCTGGTCCAACCCCCTGAATCATGGGAATCACAGCTAAGGATTCCTGGCAGACGTGCATTCAATCTCTCTTTTGAAAATAGAATTGAGTTCTGCTCATGGGCTTCCCAGTGGGGCATCTGGGTGGCCAATGTGAGAACAGGATGCTGGACTAGGTGGGCCTCCTTTGGCCTGATCCAGCAATGCTCCTCTCCATGGTCTTTTGGTGCTGATTTCCCACTAATGCAGGGGGTTGGACTAGATGACTCTTACCTTCTAATCCCACCATTCTATAACTCTAAGAAGAACTCTACTATATGTTAGCAGAAACTGACCTATAGCTTTTTGTGGAACAACCTCGACCATTGTATTATGGTGCCCAAAGTTTAACTTGCACGCAGTCACTGTTAACTCTGACATCCTTTGTGAATGTAAACCCACCAGTTTTCCAAAGTGGCTGTAATTGCAGAACAGAGCGCAGCTCAACTCTCTGTCACCCCTCTCCCCTCCACAATCACCAGACCAGACCGGAGCAACCCAGACGGAATCTCTCGTTCTTGATAGACTGGACGGAGCCACCATCCACAGACTGCAGACCTCCTGGTTCGGGGAGGCAGGACTAAAACCACAATGCCAGTGCGGTCGACAAAGGCTCCTTCTCTGATTACAAGCTCATCTGCTCAATGCCCAGGGAGGGAGAGGCAGAGAAATAGGGTCACAGAGAACTGGAGAAATGGAGTGGTTCCACCGATATGGACTCCTTCCAAAAGATGTCCCAGACAGAAGGCAGATCTCGAACAAAGATCTGAGTGGTAAGCAGGACTCCCTAGCTGGGAGAGATCAATTGCTGTTTTGCTCAAAGCAACGAAGTACATAAGAGCTTGCTGAATCAGGCCACTGACCCACCTAGTCCAGCATGCTGCCCTCACAATGGCCAAACACACCAAGAACCTAGAGGTTCCATAAGAACATCAGAAGGGTCCAGCTGCTGGATCAAGCCAGTGACCCATCTGCTCCAGCATCCTGCTCCCACAGAGGCCAACCAAATACCTTAATGAGAAATCCAAAAGAAGGATTTAAGCACAAGAGCACTCTCCCCACCCCCAAAACCTAGGTCTCCAGCAATTGGTATCCAGAAGCATTGCTGCCTCCCACGATGGAGGCAGAACATAGCCATCATGGCTAGTAGCCACCAGTAGCCCTCTCCCCCATAAATGTGTCCATTCCTCTTTTATAGCCATCACTGCCTCCTGTGGAAGCAACTTCCAAAGGTTGTGCTGTGCCAAGAAGGACTTCCCTTTTATCTGTCCTAAACCTTCCAACATTCAGCTTCATGGGATGTCCACGAAGTTCTAGTGTTATGAGGGGGCCAAGAAAAAAAAATTCTCCATGCCATCCATAAGCTTATAAACTTCTGTAATGTTGCCTCTTATTTGCTTTTCTCCAAAATGATCATTTGGGTTGCCCTTTTCTAAACCCTTTCCAACTCCACTATTTCCTTTTTGATGTGAGGTGAAAAGAAATGTGCACAGAATTCCAGATTCACCCCCAGAGCTCCCCTCCCCACCCTACCCTACCCAATAAAAAAGGGATCCGTTCCGGAGCCCCATTTGCAACCTGAGCAGAACGCAACCCGCGTCTGCGCATGCACGGGTCACGACTGCTTCTGTGCATGCGTGTGATGTCATTTTGAGCGTCTGCGCATGCACGAGCAGCAAAACCCGGAAGTAACCCTTTCCGGTACTTCCGGGTTGCCGTGGGACACAACCTGAAAAGATTTAACCTGAAACAAACGTAACAGAGGTATGACTGTATTCAGAATAGTGGTCTGCATGCCCCACCCACTAAGGAAGGTAACAACACAATAAAACTCAGGACAGTAGCAGTTGTTTGCACATGTATCCCAAAAATGAATGTGTGAAAAAATAAATATATACACTCATCTAATCTTGCAGCAAAAAAGAAAAAAAAGGATAGACAGCAAAGAACGTTGCATTGAAATTACATTTATGCATTTATATTTTATTTATAATTGTATCTATATTTGTATTTTTAAATAACTTCTATTTAGCTGTGATTCTTGCACTGGAGGGGGTGGGACTAGATGGCCCTTGGGGGTTCCCTTCCAACTCTACAATTATACGCTTCTATGACCTCAGAAGGTGGTGGCCTCTCCCTTGGACGTTTTTAAGCAGGTTAGATGATCATCCGTTGGGGATTCTTTGGCTGCGATTCCAACACCGCACATGGTTGCACTACGTGACCTGGGGGTGGGGTCCCTTCCAACAATTCTATAATTCTAAATCTAACAACAACAACATAAGCAATTGCTTTATAAGGTCATTCGGGTGGAAAACAGTAGCTGGGGGAGATGGGACAGTGGATTTCTACCATAATTGGCTCACTGCTAGAGCTTCACAGTTTAGCTTTCTTGCTGGACGCTTTTCCTGGTGGCAGAAAAAGGCAGCTCTTCTTGCTAGACACTTCTGTTGGAGAACACACTTTTAAGTTAGAGGTTGAGATAAAGGACGAACGCTCCCGAAGGCAGGTAGGGCATTCTATTTCTTCTTCTTCTTTTTTTAAGGCTACAGCGCAAGGCATGAAATGAATTCTAGCCAAATCACATGGGTCACTTCTCTTCACTTTCCCTGCTTGGAAGCACCGGGGTGATAATTCTTCTAGGCACGGAAAGCACACAGGGCAGAGGCAGAAGCAGGAGGGAGTGCGCTGGGCCACACAAAGCATGGACATCAGCATTGTTGATGCCTGAACTCGCAGAGCTGGAAAAGGTTCGGAAAAGGGCAACTGAGATGATCGAGAGGATTGAACAATGCCCATGTGGGGGGAAGGTTGCAGCATGTGAAGAAAGACTACAGCGTATGGGGCTTTTCAGTTTAGAGAAAAGGTGCTGGAGAGGCGACATGACAGAAGCTTATACAATGATGACTGGCCAGGAGAAAGAGGAGGGAGAGAAGCACGTCTGCCAGCCCACCCTCACGTAGCTGCTTCCTAAAACTGCAACTCATGGATATCCAATGAAGCTGAATGTCGGAAGATTCAGGACAGAGAAAAGAAATCACTTATTCGCACATAAACTATGGACGTTGCTCCTGCAAGAGGCAGTGGCGGCCACCAAGCCGGATGTCTTGAATAGAGGATTAGACAAATTCATAGAGGAGGGGAGGGCTATCAATGGCTCCTTGCCACAGTTGCTATGCTCTGCCTCTATGGTCAGAGGCAGCAATGCTTCTGAAAACAGGTTGCTGGAAACTGCAGGAAGGGAGAGGGTGCTTTTGGGCTCAGATCCTGCTTGTGGGTTTCCCATTGGGGCATCTGGCTGGCCCCTGTGAGAAGAGAGTTCTGGGCAAGATAGGCTATTGGGCTGATCCAGCAGACACTCCTTATGTTCTCACAAAAAAGCCTGCTAAGTAAGCATCATGCTATCGTCCACAGAACCACTTTTGCCTCCCGAGAACAACAGTAACGAGTAAGAACATACTACCTGTTTTATTTTATTGCATATGTATGTAGCCCTCCAGGGATGTGGGTGGCGTTGTGGGTTAAACCACAGAGCCTAGGACTTGCCGATCAGAAGGTCGGCGGTTCGAATCTCCGCGACGGTGTGAGCTCCCGTTGCTCGGTCCCTGCTCCTGCCAACCTAGCAGTTCAAAAGCACGTCAAAGTGCAAGTAGATAAATAGGTACCGCTCAGGCAGGAAGATAAACAGCGTTTCCATGCGCTGCTTTGGTTCGCCAGAAGCGGCTTAGTCATGCTGGCCACATGACCCAGAAGCTGTACGCCGGCTCCCTCGGCCAATAAAGCGAGATGAGCGCCACAACCCTAGAGTTCGGCCACATCTAGACCTAATGGTCATGGGTCCCTTTGCCTTTTATGTAGCCCTCCTTTTTTCCTCCAAGGAGCTCAAGGTGGTGCACATGTTTCTCTTCCTCCTTTCATCCACACAACAATCCTGAGAAGTAGCTTAGGCCGAGAGGCAGAGACTTGCCCCCAAGGTCACACTCAGTGAGTTTCATGGCGGAGTGGGGATTGGTACCCTGGTCTCTCCCAGGTTCAAGCCAGACACTCTAAGCACTACACCACTTGGGTACCACATAAGCACATCAGAAGAGCCTGAATGGCCCATCTAGTCCAACACCCTGTTCTCACAGTGGCCAACCAGATGCCCCAATGGGAAACCTACAATCAGGATCTGAGCATAAGAGCCCAACTCCTCTCCTATGGTTTCTATAAAAATGCAAGAGGTTGGATGGCCATCTGTCTGGATTATTAACTGTGATTCCTGCATTGCAGGAGATTGGGCTAAGTGACACTTGGGGTCCCTTCCAACTCTACAATGGTGCCATTCCATGAGTGCATCAGTGCAGACTTGCACAGTCTCTCCTCCCCACACACTCAGCGAAACTATAACTTTGGGGTGGGGTTTGCGTGTGTTATTTCCATCTTTCAAAGCAAAATGTGATCTGGGCAGGTTGGAAGATTTGGAACGTAGAACGCTTGGCGAAAGATAAAATGTAAGGGGGCTCTTAAACAGTAAGCTTTGGACAAAATTAAGCATTCTGAGCTGCCTCCCAGGTTCCCTTTAGCAGGTCTCTGTTATGATTTGGGCTCCAGCGCACCATTAACGTGCCGTGGCTGCAGCAAAATCCAAGCTGCTGGCCTTTTTATGGGGCTAAATGACTCTTGCAGCTGTGCAAGCTGTCTGGGTACTTTTAAAGGCGCAGGTAGAGCAGAGGCAAAACTCCACACATCTTTCCCTTTCCTTTGCATTCAGATCAAACCCAACAAAATCATTAAGTAAATCATATGAAATTCTTTCTGAGTTTAGGTCCTACAGGAAATCTGTACCAAAACAGCTGGGGGGAAAGGTATTTCAGACAGGAAATTCCTTTGGGCTCCCGGACCCAAGAAAATAAGAAGAGATTGCTGGATCAAGCCAATGGCCCATCCAACCTGTTCTCACAATGGCCAAATGCCCCAAGGAATCTAGGTAGACTGCCACTGGACCTGGAAGATCCATAAAAAGAAAGGAAGAGCCTGCTGGATCAGGGCCAATGGCCCATCAAGTCCAGCATCCTCTTCTCACAGTGGCCAACTAGATGCCCCAGTGGGAACTCCACAAGCAGGATGCAAACACTAGAAATCATGGCATCTAATGTAGCCGAATATTGGAAGATTCAGGACAGATAAAAGGAAGTCCTTCTGAGTTAATGTATGGAACTCACTTCCACAGGAGGCAGTGATGGCTACCAACCAAGAGGATTGGGCAAATTCATGGAGGAGAATCACACTATCAATGGCTACTAGCCAGGATGGCTATGCTCTGCCTCCAAAGTCAGAGAGAAAATAAATGTTTCTGAATACCAGTTGCTGGAAACCACAGGAGGGGAGAGGGTTCTTGTGCTCAAATCCTGCTTGTGGGTTTCCTCTTGAGGCATCTGGTTGGCCACTGTGAGGACAGGATGCTGGACCAGATAAGCCTGATCCAGAGGGCTCTTCCTTTAAGCAGTGTCTTCTGCTTTGCCCATTTTAAAGCGTGTTCAACAATTCATTTCCTGGGCTAGATTCAGACATTTGATAGTTTAAATGCCATGCTGACCGTTTTCATAGAACATCAGCCTGCAAGCAATTTAATTAAATATAAATACACTACATTTCCTCACCAGCTGGACTTCAAACACCCTGATGGGCACTGACATTTGCATCTGCCTTCAGGAGCCTTCATCCTTTATCTCATCCAACTGAATATTTAAGGGGGGTGTGTGTGCAAGCAAATACTTTTTCTTGGTGATTTAGCAAATTTTTCATTTCCATGTTCTGCATCAGTTCCAACTGCGTTTCTACATTCTGCAAGGCACCCTGGGAGTTTTACCAAAAGGCATGGGATGAATCCCTTAGAACACACACTCACAGAACAGTAGAGTTGGAAGGGACTCCAAGGGTCATCTAGGCAATGCAGGAGTCACAGTTAATTGCAAATGTGTAAAATAATTTTCAACATCAGAATTGCAACATTGCAGTCCATTTTGAAAGGACCGTGGCCTCTCAGCTTAGGAACCAGAGATGCTCAAAATTCATTTTGGCACAGACAAATGTCAGGTTCTTCCCCTTAGGCAGAAATAATCAGATGAACAACTATATGATGGGGAATACCTCCCTTGACAGCAGCATAGGTGGGAAGGATCTGGTGGTCTTAGTAGAGACCACAAGCTTCACATGAGTCAACAGTGTGATGCAGCAGCAAAAAAGTCTCATGCAATCCTAGGCTTGATCAACAAAAGTTTAGTGTCCATATGAAGGGAACGAATAGCAACCTATTCTGCCTTGGCCCCACACCACCTGGAGTCCTATGTACAGTTCTGGGCACCCCGATTTAAGGAGGATACTGACAAGCTGTGCAGAGGAGGGCAGCCAAGAGTTGGAAAGGACCCCAAGAGTCATCTAGTCCAACCCCCTGCAATGCAGAAATCACATCTCATGAATACCTGACAGGTGGCCGGCCATCTGACGTCTGCTTAAAATCCTCTAAGGAGGAGAGTCCATGACCTCCTGAGCTTGTGTGTTCTGCTATTGAACAGCTCTTACCCTCAAAAAGTTCTTCCTAGTATTTAGTCAGAATCTCCTTTCTTGCAATTTGAATCCATTGGTTTTGGTCCTCCCCTTTAGAGCAGCAGAAAACAAGTTTGCTCCGCCTTCCACATGACAGCCCTTCAGATATCTGAAGACAGAGACCTTTAAAAAGAAGAAGGGGGCAACTTTCCAAAGTCTTAAAATCCTGCAGTTTGCTTTTATCTTATTTTGTATCTGAATGCTTATTTGTTTTCCGGTAATTTTCACTTCTGGAAAGCTATGCCGGGAACCTCTTGAGGGGGGAGGGGATCCAAAATAAACTAAAAACCGGGGCGAGAGGGAGTGCTTTTCCTCAAAAACCTCGGTATCTCGCAAAGCAAAGCCTTTGCAGAAGTTCAAGGTGGTGTCAGCCAGAACATCTCGTTGCAGGGTGCATTGTTTGGGGCCATGTTCAGAAGGGCAGGGAACTGGGAAAGAATAACAGAACTGAAGCGTGGGAAGGGATCTCCAAGGGTCCTCTAGTTGAACCCCTCCACACACAATGCAGGAATCCCAGCTCAAAAATCCCGACAGATGGCCTTCCGACCTCTATTTAGAAACCTCCAAGGAAGGAAAGAGCACCACCTTGCCGGCAGGCTTAAGCTTCATGGTTCTCTTTCAGGAACTGACCACTGGACAGACGTCCAAATCAAGCATCCTCTCTCACTTGATCGTCTTGGCTCCGTCGAACCACTTGGCCCGTGCGCTCACTGCAACTTGCCAGGACCTTCGTGTTTCTTTTCAAGGAAGCAAATTAAAAAGAAAAATCCTCTCCTTTGCCTCCTTGCCTAACACCTTGGAGAAAAGAAGCTTTTTAATGAAAGCCGTTTAGCATTCAGAAGCTTGATGTTTCAGGGACTCCAAGAGGATGGGGAGAAAATGTCACATGAGGCTTTTGCAGGCCTTGCCGGTTGTTTGGAAATCCAAGCTCCGAGCAATGAAAGAAGAAGAAAGAGGAAGATGCGGCCCAAAACATGAGAACTTAAAAAGGGCCTGCTGGATGAGGACAACTAGTCTAGCAAACTGTTCCCACAGTGGCCAGATGCCCCTAAGAGCCTCGAAATCTAGATAGACTGCCTCTGGGACTGGAGGTTCTGGAAGAACACAGGAAAGAACTTGTCTGCTGGATCAGGCCAATAGCCCATCCAGTCCAACATCCCGTTCTTAGCGCCCAAACAGATGCTCCAAAGGTAGACCAACAAGCAGGACGTGAGCACAACAGCCCTCTCCCCTCCTGTGGCTTCCAGCCACTAGGATTCAGAAGCATTGTGGTCGATAGCCCTCTCCCCCTCCATGAATTTGCCTAATCCTCTTTTAAAGCCATCTTAAAGCTGGTGGACATCACTGCCTCCTGAGGTTAGGAATTCCAGAGTTTAACTCTGTGCTGCATTGAGAAGGGACATTCCTCTATCTGTCCAGAATCTTCCCATATTCAGCTTCATGGGATGTCCACCAGTTCTAGTGTAATGGGAGCTGTTTGATAGTGGAACGCACTCCCTCAAGATGTGGTGGGCTCTCCTTCATTGGAGCTTTTAAGCAGAGGTTGGATGGCCATCTGTCAGGGCTTGTTGATTCCTGCATTGCAGGGGGCTGGACTAGATGGCCCTTGGTGATCCCTTTCAACTCTGCAATATTCTATGATTCTATGAGAGAGGAGCATTTTTAAAACTTCTATGCATGATTTTATAAACATCTATTGTGTCCCCTCTTCCTCACCTTTTCTTTAAGTTAAAAAGTCCGAAAAACTGCAAGATTTCTTCATATGTCGCAACCGGTTTTTTATTTGCACTACAACCTGTTTTCAAATGCTGCAACTATTCTTCATAGGAGAGTCTCTCCATCCCCTTGATAGTTTTGGTTGCCCTCTTCTGAACCTTTTCCAACTCCACAATATCCTTTTTGACGTTCCCGGCAGGAGAAGAGGGGTAACAGCTGTGCCCAGGGTGTCTGGCAGCAGGTGAGAGAATGATGAGCCCCAGGAAACTGCCATGGTCCAGAAAATGCAGCAGATTCTCCACCTGGGTTTTGGAAACCGGGGCGGGGGGCACAGCGGAAGAGAACAGCCCCCGCCCACCCTCCTTTTAAGCTTCCTCTGGGCTTAAATCCTGCCAGTAATAGAAAAGGCAAGGGGAGAGGAGCTTACATCTCTCGAGGTTTCAGGGGAAGACAAAAACGTGGGTGGTCCAGACTTGCTTTTTACGGCGATCTCTGGAAGTTGGCAGCAGAGAGGTCTTGGGACTCGCGGGGGATCCGAGATCAGACGAAGATCTTTGGCCCACCCAGAGGCTGAGGATCAGTGCTCAGTGGATGCAAGGAGGAGAAGTCAAGGAAGATTAAGGTCAGGCATGAGACAGGACGAGAGACAAAGGAACACAGGAAGCAGCCTTATATTGAGTACTTGGTCTATCTTGCTCAGCACTGTCTATGCTTTCTGGCAGCAATGGCCCTCCAGGTTTTCAGTTAAGGGGTCTCTCTCCTGGCCCTATCTGCAGATGCCACTGGGGATTGAACTTGCAAGGCAGATGCTCTATCACTGAGCTGCGACCCTTCTGCTAGGAATAAAGTAAGATTCCAGTCCTCATGCTTCTCAATAGCAGGCTCAGCTGAATAGGAACATGGGAAGCTCCCTTATACTGAGTCAGACCCTTGCTTCTCTTGTCTACACTGACTGGCAGCAATAGCTTGCCAGGGATTCAGGCAGAAGTCTATTATAGCCCTACCTGGAGATGCCATTGGGAAAGGGATTTTTCTGCCTTCAAGATCGATGCTCTACCACTGAGCTATGGGGGCCTTTGCTGGGCAAGTACTGCCATGGAGGATCCACTCACCCTGCTTCCCTTTTGCAGGGCTGCTTAAACTCTTGGGTTGCCCTTAGAGGAAAGAATATACAGGCATTCCCCCACTTAACGCGCATTCTACTTGCACACGACTGCTTTTTCAAGGGTCGCCGCAAAGTAAGTAAAGAATTTGAATGAAACGGCATGCTTTCCCTTGCTCAGGTCAGCTGCCTGGAAGTCGCTCTTGGCCACTCGCTTGCTGCGATGGCACTGAATGGAGGGAAGGCATGCTGGGCAGAGGCCTCAAGCAACTTCCAGGCAGCAGCCCCAGCGGCGCACATAAGTCTCTCTCCTCCCCACACATGCTCTCTATTAAAGTGGGGGGGGCTCCCCCCTTTATGCAATTTCAGTGATGCACGCAGAGGCTCGGAACATAACCCCCATGTAAGCAGGGGACACCTGTATACAAAAGTATACAGGGCCTTCAAAACAGCAGCTCAGCTTAACAGATTTCACCCGATAAACACCACGACACAGGGTGAGATTTCAGCCTACAAACACCATGATGCAGGATTCCTGCAAAGCAAAAGGCCTGGAAATTCCTGGAAATGTCCAGCCCCTCGCAGTTGTAAAGGAACAAGTTATGAAAAGACAGGTTTTCTCCAGTAAGATTTGGAGCATTACAGATTTTGGCCTGGCTGCCTTCAGCTCCCAAAACAGCATTTCTGCTGTTCTGGGTGTACATTATATGTTAAGTAGTTTTTGCTGCCTTTAAGATAGCAAAGGAAGATAGGAAGTTTCCTCGTACTAAGTCAGACCATTGGTCCATCTAGTTCGGTACTGTCTATACTGACTGGCAGCGATGGTGCTCCAGGATTTCAGGAAGGGGTCTCTCTCCCAGCCCCAACTGGAGATGCCAGCAGGGGTAGAAGATGGGAGTTTCTGCTTGCAAGGCAGGTGCTGTAGCTCTACAGAAAGTGTTGCAGGGGTTCCATTCAAGCTTCAGACTCCTTCCCATCTCCTAAGCCCCTCGCTGTCCATTGCCTCCACTTAGCCCTGCAGAAGGCAGGAACCGCTGGCTCCAGATTTGTTCCAGATTTCTACTGGTCTTGAACAGAAAGCCTGACATTACACAAGTTAAGCTAAAGGGATTGAGCTACTCCTGCAAGCAAGATTTGAGAACAAGAGCCCCTCCCTTCCTGCGGTTTCCAGCAACTGATAATCAGAAGCCTTACTGCCACCAACCATAGAAGCAGAGCAGAGCCATTGTGGCTGGTAGCCATCAGTAGCCCCCTCTTCCATCAATTTATCCAATCCTCTTTTAAAACCATCCAAGTTGGTGGCTATCCCTGCCTCCTGCAGCAGCGAGTCCCATAGGTTAACAAAGGAGGACTTTCTTTTGTCTGTCCTAAATCTTCCAACATTCAGCCTCACCGGAAGTCCACAAACTCTGGAGTCACGAGAAAAGGAGAACAGCTTTTCTCTGCCCGCCTTCCTCAGGCTATGCATGATTTCTTAAACTTTTATTGTGCCGCCTCTTCATCGCTTTTTCCCTGCGCTAAAAGGTCCCAAATGCTGCAACCTTTCCTCTTGGGGGAGTCATCTGATTGTTTGAGGGTGCCCTTTTCTGATCTTGCTGCAACTCTTGATATGGTGGAGACTGGAGAGGAGGCATTTGACAGGGATCCAAAAGGCCAGCTTCCCAACCTTTCACATCAGACCCTTCACCTTTCACTGCTCCCCCTCTGCCTGAGGATCCACCTGCCCTTTGCGAGGAAGTGACCTACTCACAGCAGAAAGGGCATCGTTCTACTTGGAGCAGACAGACAGAGACAACAGGCCACCAATCACCCACAGGTGTGGGGAGAAGAGATACAACAGCTGACAATAGAGAATCCTCAGCAATGAATACCTGAACGTAAGTGCTGGATCAGGCCAATGGCCCACACAGTTCAGCATTCTGTCCTAAACAGCCAGATGCTCCAATGGGAAACCAGCAAGCAGGATCTGAGCAGGAGAGACAATGCTCTCCCCTCCTGTGGCTTCCAGCAACTTGCGGCATTCAGAAGCATTGCTGCCTCCATCTCAACAGCCCTCTCCTCCACAGATTTCTCAAAGCCTCTTTCAAAGACATCCAAATTGGTGGCCATCCCTGCCTCCTGTGGGAGGGAGTTCCAGAGATTAACTAAGCTCTGAGTAAAGAATGGATTTCTTTTTAGGTGTCCTAAATCCTCCAAATAGTCAAATCCTGGGATGTGGGGCCCAAAATGAAAGGGGCAGGTGATGCCCTGCTTGCCTCCACGAAAGCTGTTCTGATTGTTCTACCCACATACCTCTATGGCCATTAAGTCCCACATCCTTGCGCCCCCCCCCCCCCACCGCAATCAGGCTCGTCACATTGAGCCCCCTGGTGCTGCTCTCCACCCCAAACAAGCATCCCATTAGGCTTCACCCCAGGATATAGGTGAAACTGACAGGCCCGCTTTTCATTTTCACGACCGCCAGAAAGTGTTATGTTGTTAATGCAATCTTGTTATATTTACACTGCTGAAATGTTGTTCGTTTACAATGTGTTATATATTTGCTACCGTGTTGTTTTCCCATGGTGCTATTATGAAATTGCATTTGCAATGTTTGATTCTGAGATGCATTCCTGTTTTTCTCTGCTGCTTTGAAAAGCAGCAAACAAAGAAATCTGGAAGATTCAGGAAGTCCTAACACAGCACATAGTTAACCTGTGGTACTCCCTCACGCAGGAGGCAGTGATGGCCACCAACTTGCTTGGCTCTAAAAGAGGACTGAACGAATTCACAGAGGAGAGGGCAGCTGATGACTAACTAGAAACAATGGCAATGTTCTGCCTCCGCAATCAGAGGTGATGATGCTTCAGTGCCAGATGCTGGGAGCTGCAGGAGGGGAGAGTGTTATTGTGCTCGAATCCTGCTTGTGAATTTCCTATAGGCATCTGGATGGGCCACTGTGAGAAGAGGATGCCATCGACAGCCCTCTCCCCCATGTCTAATCTTCTTTCAAAGCCATCCACATTGGTGGCTATTGGGGCTTCCTAGGGGAGCAAGTTCCACAAATTAAATATGCACTGTGCTACGAAGTCCTTCCTTCTGTCTGTCCTGTATCTCCCAACACTCCGCCTCAGTGAATGTCCATGAGTTCCAGCATTTGAGGGGGAGAGGGGGCTTTTTCTCTCTCCACTTTCTCTAGGCCATGCATAATTTCATAAACGTCTATTGTGCTGCCTCTTCCACACCTTTCCTCCAAACTAAAAGTGACCGAGCAGCAGGCTGTGTCTTTGCTCCCGCCTAAGATGCTCTCAAGTCCCCAGGCTGGCTTCCTCGCTAGGAGGGAAATCCCAGATCTAACAAGTCCTTGTTCCTCCCGTATAAAGGAGCCCTTGAGAGAGATGTTGCACGCTGGGACTCTTTGCTCTTGAGAAGCAATGGCAGCTGTGGGGAAGCCGGCAAGCAGAAGTGGGGGTGGGGCGGGGGCGGGGGGGGGGAGGGTGAGACTCTCTCCGGAAAAGCATCCCTCGGCCATATAACTGGAGCAGGTGGCGGGGGCTGAACGGCACGGCAGCTGTGCAAACCCCAAGGAGCAACACAAGGCTCGGGTCTGTTCTAGACCTCACGACGGCCTGGGATGGCTCAACGCAGCAGACTTTTTGGTTTGGAGCAGAGGCAGCACGATAGAGATATTGTGTCTGGTTCTGGAGGAGGATAATGACCGGCTGGAAGGTGTGCAAGAGGAAGGCAGCCAAGAGGATGAAGGACCTGGAAACTAAGCCTTTCAAGGAAGGGTGGGAGTTCTATCATGACACCTTTTCTCCAAACTACAAAGTCCCAAATGTTGCAACTGTTCTCTATCAAACACATATTCAATTCTCTCCCAAGTTACCCCTGCTGAATATGTGGAGACATTTCACCAAAAGGAAATGACATGGACTCCCCTATGAGGAACAGTTGCAGCGTTTGGGGCTTTTTAGTTTGGAGAAAAGACAATAGAAGAGACGCGGTAGACGTTTATAAATGGATGCAAAGCATGGAGGAAGGGGATAGAGAAATGTTTTGCTCCCTCTTTTCTAACACTGGAACTTGTGGACATCCCATGAAGCTTGTGTTGGAAAATTCAGGACAGATAAAAGAAAGTCCTTCTTCACACAGTGCAGTTAAACTATGGCACTCACTCCCCCAGGAAGCAGTGATGGCCACCAATTTGGATGGCTTTAAAAGATTGGGCAAATTCACAGAGGAGGAGAGGGCCACTGATGGCCAGCAGCCATGACAGAGGCAGCAACCATCCTAATAACAGTTGCTGGGAACCACAGGAGGGGAAAGGGCTCTTGTGCTCAAACCCTGCCTGAAGGTTTCATAGAGTCATAGAATTGTAGAGCTGGAAGGGATCCCGGGGGTCATCTAGTCCAACCCACTGAAATGCAAAAATCTCAACTAAAGCATCCATTGAGGCATCTGGTTAGCCACTGAAAAAAGAGGATGGCCTCTTTTGGCCTTGTCCAACAAGGCTGTTCTTATGTTCTTATGGAAGAAAAGCCAGCATTCAGTCCTCTAGACCAATGGGCTTTCACTGGACCACACCAAAAACCTGCCTCAGACCCACAGCCTGCAACACGAAACCCACTTTTACATTTTGACTTTTGATTAATACTAACAATGCACACTGGTCATGCCAAAATTGTGACAGACAGAGCAGCACCCCTTAGTGTTGCTACAGAACACAAAGCAATGATATGGTGTGTGTTTTATGCTGAATCTGAGCGGAAAGGCTGAGAGGCCATTGAAAGTCAGTGATTTTTGCATTCTGGGTGGTCTTGATAGCCAAAGACCAGCCACATTCAACCTGCGCATGGGGGTGGGGGGCCAGACGGGGACGACAGGGACCTTTGAGGGGCCCAGCCTAGAGACTCACTCTGGACCCTGCCTGCAAGCACGGGACACAAACACACATTTCAGCTTGTGAACAGGGGTGGTGTTACATCTGATTTAGGATTAGGACTGGGATTTGGTTTGGGGCTGGGACAGGTTTAAGGCCAGAGCTGGGGCTTACCAGGATTTTGGGAACAGAATGTTTTTAAAGAAAGGGCTAGCGCTGTGATATTTTTATTGTAACAATACGTGTGTGTTTTAAAAAATATTTGATAGATAGACAGACAAGAGATGCAGGCGCGCACGCACACACACACACACACACACACACCATTATGCGCATTCCACTCAAGTGAAACTGCATTTACATGCGTCACTGCGAAATAAATAAATGATTTGAACCAGGAAATGGTGCCGAAAGAGCAGGAGAGAGCAGGGGAGCAGGGTAAACAGCTTGCACGGCCGTTCCAAGTGTCTCACTGCCCGCCCCCCCACTCACTCACCCTCCTTGGCCTTCTTCTTCCCGGCTATCAGGGTTCTCTTGCGGGGGGGGGCGTGCTCCATGCCTTCACAAGCCCCTCCCTCCCTTGCTCGTATCAATTGTGTTCCTTGGGCAGGGTTCGAAAGTCCCTCCGCCCTCCCTTGCCCTCTCTCTCGCCACCCCACAACAAGGGCAGCAACATTATTTCTTGAGGGTGGGGGAGAAACTAAATGAAAAGAAACCCATCTCCAGCAACCTCCGAGACTAACAGTGAGATCACTGAGAGGTCCCGTAGCGGTGCTGGGCACCCAGAGCCACCCAGCTACAAACCCCCAGATCCAGTTTCTGATCATCAGAAGCAGGCAAGGGCACATCGCAGCCCGGGTGAAGGCGAATGGGATGGACAGTTATCACCTGAAAGAGTGCTGCTTCCCAGCCTCTCTCAAAAGCACCCCTCCCCATGTTACACAAATTTCCCATATACGCGCGGAGTCCCTGAATGTAACCCCCGCGTAAGTGGGGGGACGCCTGTATATAAAAAAATTATACTAATGTTTGATTGCTTTTTTAATGGTTCCTTTCCCCCTCTCTGTTTCTAGCTGTTTCTCTTTTAGCTATAAAGCCACCTTGAGTCCCTGTCAGTGGGAAAAGGCGGGATATAAATATGAATATACTAATGAAAAGTAGTCGGGCAAAATAAGACCAGAGGGCAAACAGTGCAGCCGGGGAGACTCACAGGTGATGAAGTAGTCCTGGTGTCTCTTGAACTCCAGGCCCATGTAGTTGGGGCTGAACTCCTGGAACTTGATGGTGAAGCGGATCTCCTGGTCAGGCCGGTTGCAGGTCACCAACACATTGGGGTCCATGATGGTGCTGCAGGCATCTGCCTGGCCGCGCTTCACCAGGTAGAGCTTGTAGTACTCATAGGGCCTGGAGGACTCAGCCTTTGGGCAGATAATGTCCAGCTTGTCCCCAATTTCTGGGTAGATGATCAGTCCCTTTCCAGACACAAACCTGAGAAAGCAGAAGGAAAGATATTAGAGCAATGATGATTATGATGGTTGCAACCCAACCTCCTACAATACAGAAATCATAGTTGTTGTTGTTGTTGTTGTTGTTGTTGTTGTTGTTGTTGTTGTTATCCCACTTTTCGCCTTAAGGTCCCAGGGCAGGTAACATCATTAAAACAAAACATTAAAAGCAGTTTTTATAAATGTCCAAAATGTTACAGGGGGGTGGGGACATTTTTGACATTTTAAAAACTGCTTCTAATGTTGTGCTCACATGTACATATCTGGGTATAGATAACCTAATTGTCATAGGGGCTGCAATAAACTTGGTGCAGATGATCATTTATGGTGGACTTGCTCAGTCAATAGAGCATGAGACTTTTAATCTCGGGGCTGTCTGTTTGAGCCCCGTGTTGGGCAAGATTTCTGCACTGCGGGAAGTTGGACTATGATTATCCTCATGGTTCCTTCCAACTCTACTATTCTATGATATGATTCCCTGGCAAGAGTTATCGAGGGATGAAGGCAAGGAGAAGGAAGAACTGAACATCAACTTAGGTTCTCAAAGGGTGTGACTCACCACACTGGTGTGGCAGGAGAGGATGACAAGTGTGGAGGGGGAAATTCAAGGGCAATGAAATAAACATTTGAACATTTCAGTGTAGTAGTATAGTATGAATACACACACACACACACACACACACCCCAGAAACAGTATGAAAGATCAGAAGAGAGGAAGGCTTCTTTGTGTTGAAGAGGAGATGAGAATTTGTCTGCGTCAAATTAGACCTAATATAAATGAGATTACCTGGCAAATGCAAGTTCACACCTCTCATGGAGTTTGTAGACATACTTAAGGTACATATGGAAGAGGCTCATTTATAATTACATTTTGGGAATGATTCATGTTCTTATGTCGCCACATTGTTTTATGCTTTCTGCATATCCCATGATCATATTATAAAGTAATCCTGTTCTATGGTATAATCAAGAACTGCTAGGAGCTGTTTCTTTTTTGCTTTCCAATGCATTTCTTATCAATAAAAAACTGGGTGTGGCACAAGCAAATTTTTATTCTGAAAGTGTGGCCCAGAGGAAAAAAAAGTTTGGAGAACACAGACTTAGGCTAACGACCATAATCTGCTCCTGGTGAAAGATAACTCAGGAACAGATGTGAAGGCAAAATTATCCTGACTGCTGCAGGGCAGAAACAGGGGGCTCGAGGAGGGTGGGGGGAATAGTGGTGTGGGCCCAGACTGCTGGCTGCACCCTCCCAGTCAGGCTGCGAGGCATTACCTCTTTCCTAAAGCAGGGGGGATGGGGGAGAAAGGGAGAGGAGGGGGAGAGAAAACACTTTCCACAAATGCACAACAAGGATGCAGAACTTAAGAATGGTTGAATGTAAGAATAGCCTTCTGGATCATGCCATTGGTCCATCTAGTCCAGTTCTCACAGGGGCCAAATGCCCCTAACATCTTAGGAACTGAGATAGACTGCCTCTGCAGCTGGAGGTTCCATAGGAGCTTGAGAAGAGTCCTGCTGGATTAGACCAAAGGGGGAACATCCATTCTCTTTTCAAGGTGGCTCACGAGATGCTCATTATGGGAAACCAGAAAGCAGGGTCTGAGTAAAAAAGCCCTCTCCCCACATCAGTTTCCAGAAACTGGACTTCAGAATCATTTCTATAAGGTAAATATTTATTATCTGTTTGGAGCTGGGCTGTGTTTGTATTTCTGCTCCTCTAGCCTGTGATTCAGAATATGTTCAGAATGTCTGAAGGGGGATGTAGGAATCCTATAATTGCAGAGTCGGAAGAGACCCCCAGGGTCATCTAGCCCAACCCCCTGTAGTGCAGGAATCACAGCCAATTGCAGAGAGGGCAAGAGAAAATAAGGTCTAGGTATGCTATGTTGCAGGTAACTATGACACGGAGCCCATAACGCTGCCCAGAGCTTTTAAAAGGAAGTTGTTCAGAGTGTCCCCTCCTCACTGCCTTCTGACAAACCCCACCCATGTACAAAGGTCCCCTTCCATGCCTTTTGGCAGCCTGGTGACTCACCCACGAAACCACCCCACAGATCATGGGACTGAGACCCGTTTCTCAGAAGCAGCTGATAAGGTGCGTAAGCGTTCTGCCCCAGCTCACAAGACTGAACACTCCTCCGTCCAACGAAATGAAAGAAACAAAAACCCAGCAGTGGGAGAGATGGGACACAGGAGCCTCATTCCATCAGCTTTGCTGAAAACCCAGCTCTATCAGCCGCTGAATAGTTTAGAAATCAATGCCAGAATTTTTATTTTTCCTCTTCCCTCCTCATCCCTTTTTCTTGTGTGTGGTTTTAAAAAAAAAGACAGTAAGCCTGCGTGGGCAGGGACTGCATGTAAGATGAAGAGCAGGGTGCAATTTTTTATTTTTCCTCTTCCCTCCTCCTCCCTTTTTCTTGCATGTGGTTTTAAAAAAAAAGACTGTAAGCCTGCGTGGGCAGGGACTGTCTCATTTTCACTGACTGCATGTAAGATGAAGAGCAGGGTGCAAATGCTCTGAATAAACAGATTAAAAATGCTTTGTTAACCCATGCATGTAGATGAAACACACTGGATATTCAAAAAACTCAGTCCAGAATGCCAAATGCAGGAGTTGCAACACTCACATCCACAAAAATTAAGACAAATTTAAAGTAATTGTGGAGAGTTATACTCTGCAGGGATTATATTACACAAATCCACAGCCCCACCCCTTGACCCAAACCTGTGGGGCTGGAACACAAGGAAGGAGAGGATTCTTTGCCCACCCACCCAAGGGTGGGTCCTATAAAGGATTTTTTAGCTGGGATTCCTGCATTGCAGGAGGTTGGACTAGATGAGCCTTGAGGTTGCTACCAACACTACAATATTTGTCTTCTGACTTTACGCATCACAATCCTGAGGCATTAACACCAGGGTTCTGTCCTGGGCCCAATGTGTGCACAATGTGAAAGAAGGAATTGAAAGCAACCAAAATGATAAAGGGTCTGGAAACCAAGCCTTAAGAAGAGGAAGAGTTGAGAGATCTGGCGATGATTAGCCTGGAGAAAAGGAGACTGAGAGATAGAATTACAGCCATCTTCAAATATATGAAGGGCTGCCCCATGGAAGATGGAGCAAGCTTGTTTTCTGCTGCTCTGGGAGGATCCGAACCAACAGATTCAAATGACAAGAAAAGAGATTCTGGCTAAATACTAGGAAGAACCTCCTAAGGGTAAGAGCTTTCTGACAGTGGAAGAGACTCTCATGAGAGGTGGTGGGCTCTCCTTCCTTGGAGGTTTTTAAGCAGAGGTTGTATGGGCCACCTGCCAGGAATGCTTTAGCGGAGATTCCAGCATTGCAGACACTTGGACAAGATGGCCCTTGGGGTCCCTTCCAACTCTACAATTTTATGTTTCTGTGTCCCAAAATCTTTGCTCCAGGTGATAAAACTCTGGCAGAAATGAAAGGAATGTAGACTGACTTAAACGAACTGGGAAAAGTCCACTCAGGCTTCCGGACATCAAGTGCCACCCCCTTCAACGCAGGAATCCCAGCTAAAATATCTTGGAAAGACAGCCCTTAACCTTTCCTTAAAATTCTCCAAAGGAGGAAGGTGTGCCTCCTTCTTCAAAGGTTGTCTGTTCCAAAGTCCAATGGATCTTACTGGGTCAACATATTCCTCAAGCTGCCTCCTAGCAAAATTCCCTCATATGCTTATGTCCCCTCTCCCCCCCCCCGCCAAAAAAAAAAAGGTGTGGAGGGGGGCTCCTTGCTATTGCAGTGGTACCTCAGGTTAAGTACTTAATTCGTTCCAGAGGTCCGTTCTTAACCTGAAACTGTTCTTAACTTGAAGCACCACTTTAGCTAATGGGGCCTCCCACTGCCGTTGTGCTGCCAGAGCACGATTTCTGTTCTCATCCTGAAGCAAAGTTCTTAACCCGAGGTACCATTTCTGGGTTAGCAGAGTCTGTAACCTGAAGCGTATGTAACCTGAAGCGCATGTAACCCAAGGTACCACTTTTGGCCAGTGCTTGTGCTCAAGACCAAGAGCCCCCCTTCCTCCAAAGACTCCTTTGTGCTCAAACTTGGGGGGCGGGGGACAGATATGGAAGCCTCTTTCACCTTGGAAGGAGGTGTCTGGTACCAGGTGAGGTTTCCTACATTGTTCTTAGAGGTGTTTTCTGGTGGCTAAAGTGAAAGTGCCCCTTCTGAGACCATTGAGTTGAGTAAACAAAGAGAGCTCTGTTGGCCAAGGGGCCTTGGGGGGCAGGCAGCAGACACTCTTGCAGAGAATGGGGGGGGGGCGTTAAGGGCAATGGAGAGCCTCAAGCTCACCACGGGCAACCCGACCAAGTGGATAATAGAATCATCCCTGCATTGCATGGGGCTGGACTAGATGACCCTCAGGTTCCCTTCCAACCCTACATTTCTATGATTCTATAAAAGCACAGAAATTCAGATTATTTAGCTGTGGTTCTTGGATTGGAGAGAGTTGGACTAGCTGGCCCTTGGGGGTTCCTGACAACTCTATGACTCCTCTGCTTGAAGATCTATACCTTAAAGCAATGGTTTTCAATAGTGGGTCCATGCAACCCGGGGTGCCAAAAAAGCGCAACTTATGCAGTTTTGGGCACTGTGCAATCAAGGGGACGTGGGAGCGCAGCCCAAAAGTTGTGCATCTCAATTTTTACACTTGCATTTGTTGGAGGATATGGTGGCACCATTCACATAAAAACTACCACAGAGATAACAGCATTTTAAAAAGTAGGGGGTCCATAGCTTGGCTTTTGAAAAACAGAGAACCTACTGCCCTAAAGATAGCAAATGGGGCCCAAAAGCTAATGGCTTATGACCATCAGCTTCTCATGGGGGCTCAGGATGAAATCTCTGAAGAGCGCTGAGCAATTCAGCTTTAATCCCCACTCACTCCACACAGTGGTTTACGGATTCCCAGAAGGGGCTTAAGCGGAATTCGATCTCACAGCCTAAGTGCTGCATCTGGCTTGATAATCTGGGGACTCCCAAGGATATACGTTAACAGATTGCGCTGGGACAATCTTGTCTCCATTAATAGAATCACAGAATTGTAGAGATGGAAGTGACCCCGAGGGTCATCAAGTCCAACCCCCTGCAATGCAGGAATCTCAGCTAAATCACGCATGACAGATGGTCATCCAACTTCTGCTTCTCCAAGGAAGGAGAGCCCACCACCTCCCGAGGGAGTCTGTTCCACTGTCAAACAGCTCGTGCTGTCAGAAAGGTCTTCCTGGTGTTTAGTCAGAATCTCCTTTCTCATAACTTGATGTCATTGGTTTGGGTCCTACCCTCTGGAGCAGGAGAAAACAAGCTTGCTCCATCTTCCATGTGAAATCCCTTTGGATAAGTGAAGATGGTAATCATATCTCCTTTCTTTCTCCTTTTTTCCAGGTTAAGCGTGCACAACTCCTTAAATCATTCCTTATAAGGCTTGGTTTCCAGACACTTGATCATCTTGGTTGCCTTCCTGTGCACAACTTCCAGCTTGTCAATATCCTTCTTAAATTGTGGCGCCCAGAACTGGACCCAGGACTCCTGGTGGGGGTCTGACCAATGCAGATTAGAGCCGTACTGTGACCTTGGGACGCGGGTGGCGCTGTGGGTTAAACCACAGAGCCTAGGGCCACAGAGAAGGTAAGCGGTTCGAACCCCCACGACAGGGTAAGCTCCCGTTGCTCGGTCCCTGCTCCTTCTAACCTAGCTGTTCAGAAGCACATCAAAGTGCAAGTAGATAAATAGGTACAGCTCCAGCGGGAAAGTAAACGGTGTTTCCGTGCGCTGCTCTTGTTCGCCAGAAGCAGCTTAGTCATGCTGGCCACATGACCCGGAAGCTGTATGCCGGCTCCCTCGGCCAATAAAGCAAGATGAGCACTTCAGCCCCAGAATCGGTCACGACTGGACCTAATGGTCAGAGGTCCCTTTACCTTGATCAGGACACAAGACTTCTGTCAATACAGCCTAGAATAGCATTCGCTTTCTCCTTCCCCCAGCTGCATCACACTGTTGACTTGTGTTCAGCTTGTGGCCTATTAAAACCCCAATATTATTTTCATATGTCCTACTGGCAAGCCAGGTGTCCCCTATCTTATATTTGTGCAACTGGTTCTTCCTGCCTAAGTGCAGAATCTTACATTTGTCCCAACCAAAATTCGTTTTGTTCATTTTGCCCCATTTCGTATGTTCTTATGGATCTTCCAGGCCAGAGGCTCTCTCTCTATTCCTAGGATGTTTGGAGCATTTCACCACTGTGAAAACCAGATGCTGGGTTTAATGGGCCATTGGTCTATTCCAGCAGCCTCTTCTTACATTCTTATGAAACTGGGGAGCAGTTGCTCTTAAAAGCATCCTATTTCTATAGAATTCTTCCAATGCTTCTGCCTGTTCTTGGGTTCAGGATGCTGGGTTTGGGAACCACCAGAATGAATCAGAACAGCAACACTGTTTAATTTTTTGACTTCCTCTTCAGGCAGCTTGCTGGCTCCAAGTTCAGGATCTACCTAAAAAAAACCTTCTTATCCCCCTTTCCTGCCACCTTCTTCCTCCTCTGAGTCACAAACAACAATGGCATTATTTGATTTTTTTAAAAAAAAATTCTTGGAATTGCTACCTCACCCGCTGATTTTCCATCTTCCTCCACCGACTCAACATTAATCCTCAGTCCTGCTTATTTTAGGGTGCTAAACCTCCCACAAAAGCAGCCACAATCACCCAGCAGGTGACCATGTGTTTGTAATCAGCTCATGAATATTCACTGGCCTATTAGCATAACTGTACATCTTGGGAATATATTTCCTAATGGGAATGAGTTTTATAAAGGGCGGGGCGGGGGGAGATGTTGAATCAAGCTCATCCAACAGGAAATAATGTCTCCAGAGGCAGCCTCATATTTTATACGGCACTGTAAAGAGCTTCTCTCAGCATTTCATCAGCACCTGATTTGAACACAAAGAGCTGAAAGGCTTCTCCCATCCATTCTCCTGCATTGCAAAAAAGGGTTAAATCACAGCAGCAAATGCCTTCTGAACTAAAGGCTTCAACACATTATTTATGAGAGATGGCCCTTGGGGTTCCTTCCAACCATGCAATCATACAACTGCCTTTCCCCATTTGAACCAACCTGGACTCTGCGTTTATCATTTGAGGTCCGTCTCTGTGTGCCTCCTCTGCGAGAGGTTTGGAGAATGGCAACACAAGAACAGGCCTTTCCTGTGGTGGCTCCCAGCTTGTGGGATGCTCTCCCCAGGGAGGCTTGTCTGGCACCTTCACAACATATATTTAGACACCAGGCAAAAACATTCCTCTTCTCCAAGGTTTTTGGCTATAGCCTTTAGAATGCAATGGGAAGGGAGAACTTTTGTTTGTTACTATGGTATGTATTTTTATACAGCCCCGTGATCTTCAGATGAAGGGAGGTTGGGAAAGAAAGAAAGAAAGAAAGAAAGAAAGAAAGAAAGAAAGAAAGAAAGAAAGGCAGGCAGGCTTTGGAAGGTAGAGGATTCTCCTTCCTTGGAAGCTTTTCAACAGAGCTCAAATGCCCGTCTCTCAGGGATTCTTGAGCTGTGATTTGTGTACTGCAGAGGGTTGGACTGGAAGACCCTTAGGGGTCCCAATCTACAGTGCTATTATTCATTTGAGGTTTTTAAACAGAGGTTGGGTGACCATCTGTCCGGGATCCTTTAGATGTGCTCCCTGCATTGCACGGGGCTGGATTCTATGGCCCATGGGGACAATTCCAATTCTCCAATTCTAGGCGAAATGCTGCTGGTGTGGCAAGACATGGACACCCTGCTCCAAACCCAGCCCTCCAACCCCAATGCTCCAATTGTCTGGGGAGCAAGGGTGGTGGTTAAATACTCCTCTATTAATAAAGTCCAGGGAGCTAAGGAGAGGCTATGGGGCTGCCTTTGTCCCCTGCTGCCCTCTCTACTCGACCTGGACCCCTGGACCCCTCAGAGACACACTTTGAGGCCATTCTTCCCCCTCCATGTTTTTTCACTTTTAACGAGGCTCAGAGACAAAAGGGGCCCACCTCCACGTCCTCCCTAAATGGATTTACAAGATGCATCAATGGGGCAGAAAAGAGGTTCCCTTGGCAACCCCTAAGCTCCCCCCTACACCCAAACTCAGCTCCCCTCCTCTTCTCAGCCCCAAACACAGAGATGTTTGGAAATCTGGGAGGAGGAAAATCCCTCGGTGGTTAAGGAAAACCTGATGCTTTGGTTAACCCCAGAAACCTCCCCCCACCCCAATAAGCAGCTGCCATTTTGTTACTTGATTAAACCAACAATGCTCTCCACCCCCAATCACATTGGGGTCCCCTTTGTGCGCTTGAAAGGCACCTCATTTAAAAGGGAAAAAATAGGCATTGGGGGTGCCAGGATCGTCCTCGCCTCTGCCCTCCCCCTGCATGCCCAAGCAAGAGAATTCTGGGAAAGAAAGAAAGAAAGAGCATGAAGACCTCCGTAACAGCTTCAGTAAGAGGGATAACAGCAGTGGCGGTGGACACACAAGAAGCTGCAGCAACATATAGCAGTGATTCCTGCATTGGTGGGGTTGGACTAGAAGACCCTTGGGGGTCCCTTCCAGTTCTAAAATTCTATGATATACAGAAATTACCCAAGTGGAACACCCATGTGGAACAAGGGTTTGGAATTAGGACCCAAGGGCTGACTTGTAAAGCCATTTCATAGAATTCTAGACTTGGAAGTGACCCCTAGGGTCATCTAGTCCAACCCCCCGCAATGCAGAGGGGAATACCAACTCAAGAATCACAGAATCCTAGAGTTGGAGGGGAACTGGCCTATGGGACAGAAGATTTGATAGGGGTGGCACATAACCCTTCACATAACTAGAGGGCCGTCAGATGGAAGAGGGGAAAGACTATCTATCTCAGCAAGGGTAGGGAGACCAAGAACCTAGGAGAGAAAGGGGCAGATCACGTTATTGGAGAAAAAATGACAAAGGGGATGCAGTGGTTAAAGCTGGGTTCTCACAAAGATAAAATGAGGAATGGAACCTGGGAGGGACCAGGGTTCAAATCCCCACTCAGCCATGAAGCTAACCGGGAGTTCTATTTCCAGGGTGGGGGCAAATCTTGTTTCTGGGCTTTGCATTGTTTTGCAGACACCACCAACCACTTCAGTAAAATTCACACGTTCAGAGAGGCAACCACACTGCAGATGACATAGATATAACATAGACACATGCAAACACGCCCTTCCTAAGCAAATCCAGGCAGTTCCCGATGTCATTCCAGAACACACACTCAGTAAAAAAAATTAAAATTAAGCCTTAAGGGCTTTCTTCTGCAAAGGACCAGGAATGAGACGCAGAGCGAGAGAGGATTCCCAGGCCAGGATCACACCCTCAGGCCACAAGCAAGTCAAAGCCTCTGGATAGCACAGAACCTCCCTGGGGACTGGGACCAGGGAGGAGACACCACCAGCTGCTTCAATAAGGCCTGTTCCTCTGGATCTTTGTGTAAGGCAAGGACATAAAAAGAGCCCTCTAGATCAATCCAGCTGCCCATGTAATCCTGAATCCTCTTCTCACAGTGGCCAAATGCCCACAGCAACTTACATATCTGGGTAGACTGCTTCTGGGCCTGGAGGTTCCATAGCAGCACCAGAAGAGAGCTACTGGATCAGACCAAAGGGGCCCTTTAATGCAGAAATCACAACTAAAGAATACCTGACAGATCACCTTCCAATATCTGTTTTTTTCAGAAGGAAAAAAACCACCAATGAAGGAGAGATGAAGGTTGAAAATATTCCAAGAAACTTCACAAGATTATCTTCCAAGAGGCTGTTTTTGACCTGAAAGCAACTCTGCTTTGAAAATGATGCACAGAATTTGAGAAACGTATTTTTTTTAATGACATAGTAGAGCCAAGTATTGGAGACCTCTGAATGTGGATTAGAAATTTTACTCCCTGGCAGGTTGCCGTCCAACCTCTGTTTGAAAACCTCCAATCGTATCACAGAATTGTAGAGCTTCATTCAGTTGCACACAGTGGCAGTATTAAGGGCAGGTGCTTCCGTCTTCCCATGGGCCTCTTAGAGCTGTGTGGGTGTCCTGGGTGTGGGGAAGGGTTTGGGTTTGACGAGGCAGCACTTTGAACTTTGCAAACAGGGTGTGAGCATGCAACGCATATATTACTGCAAGCGTTTGGCAATAGCATGCACAAGTCTTCAAAGTGCTGAAGGGCCATTTGATGGAGGACTGGAAACAGGTTTAAAAATAAAGCAGTGTGAACTTGATTGGCTGTGTGTCTCCTTTTCCAGACAAGCGTTGAGTAAGCCGCCTGAAGCTGGATCAAGACCAAGAGAGGACCAGTGCAGGCTTGCAAGCTCACACTCCCTTGGGGCTGGTTCCGACAAAGATCTGTACTCAGCCTTAGCAAAGCCTAAGTTGGAATGCTGTCCTCCCCAACGGAGTCAAAGAACAAGGGGGGAAAGCTGGAAAGAACAGCAGTATACTTGACTGGAGGTTTGGAGAAAGTGATGGTGTATGTACACATTACTGAAGAAGAGCTTGCTGGATCAGGCCAACGGCCCACCTCATCCGGCATCCTCTTCTCACAGTATGAATACATAACTGTGGGGAAGCTGCAAGCAGGATTTGAGCCCAACAGCAACACTTTCCCCTCCTGTCATTTCCAGCAACTGATATTCAGAAGCATTGCTGCCTCCAACAGTGGAAGCAGAACTAGTAGCCATTTCATAGCCCTTTCTCCATGAATTTGTCCAATGGTCTTTTGAAGCCATCCAAGTTGCTAGCCATCACTTCCTCCTGTGGGGAGTTCCACAGTTTAACTATGTGCTGCATAAAGAAGGACTTCCTTTTATCCATCTTGAATCTTCTAACATTCAGCTGCAATGGATGTCCACGAGTTCTAGTGCTATGAGAGAGGGACACTAGACTTCTGTGGATACAGCCTAGAATAGCATTAGCCTTCTTTGCTGCTGCATCACACTGTTGACTCATGTGAAGCTTGTGGTCTCCTAAGACCCCGAGATCGTTTCTGCATGTCTTGCTGTCAAGCTGAGAATCCCCTATCCTACATTTGTGTATCTGGTTTCTTCTGCCTACTTGTGGAATCCTCCCTCGGTGCTTGTTTTTTTCTTTACATCCCAGTCTGGAGAGGGGACTCTCCCTTCTTTAGCAAGTTCTCATCTGCATCCAGACTCATGAGTAAAGGGGAAAGAACAGCCTGGAACTGGTCCCACAACCGCCTAGTATCAGTGAAAGTGCTTACTCCAACGTAAGCTCAACAACACATTGGACACCCAGACATAAATAACCATCACTCTAAGTGCCTTGTGTAAGAGTGAGATCATTCACAGGATTTTTAAAGCACCTGAAATGTGCTTCCAGACTGGATTGCTGCAATGCACTCTATGTGGAGCTGCCCTCAAAGACAACTCAGGAACTTCAGTGGGTTTGAGGTCAACAGTCAACATTATTTTCTCACTGCATCAGCTGCAGGAGAAATGCCGAGAACTTTGTACATCGCCTTCATAGACCTGATGAAGGCCTTTGACCTTGTCAGCCTAATGGAGTTCTTGACGCTACTCAATAAGATAGGGTACCCACCTAACCACAAAAACATGTGCCACACCATCCAATATGACGGGCCATCCTCATCCACCTTCCCTGTAAAGAGTGATGTGGAACAGGGCCATGTCCTCGGCCCAACCCTCTGTGGAATATGCTTCTCCTTGTTGCTCTTATATGCCTTCAGCTTGACAGAAGACAGTTTGTACATCTATTCATAGAGGTTTGTTCAACATCTCTGCATCAAGACAAAAGTATGGCTGGTCCTTTTCTGAGAAATGTTTGCAGATGAAGCAGCCTTGACAGCTCTACGGAGGCTTGTCAACCATTTTGCCCAAGCCTACAGAGAGTTTGGCTTTACCATCAGCCTGACAAAGACCAACATCGTCGTCAGCACTCCATGCATCAGCATTGGTGAACACATGCTTGAGATGATAAATGATGTTGTGCTTTTGGGCTCCACCATAACCAGCAGCCACTCCATTGATGCTGAGCTGGACAAGAGTACTGGCAAGGCAGCTCTGGCAGTGGCTCACCTCTCCAAAAGGGTATCGGAGAATGTGATGCTAATGACCAATACCTAGATGAAGGTCTACCAGGCTTGCGTCTAGAGCATGCTGCTTTATGGAAGTGAGTGGTGGGCAACCATCAGGAGCGATACCTCAACACCTTCCCCAAGATTTGGGGTATCGCATGGCAGGACAGGGTTTCAAACAAAGATGTGCTCTCCCAAGCCCACAATCCCAGCATGTTTACACTCCCGTCTCAGTAACATCTATGCTGGCTTGGTCATGTCCAAATGGAAGATGTTCTATGGGGAGCTAGCTTCAGGCACCAGGTCCATTGGCAGATCACCTCTGTGTTACATAGATGTCTGAAAGCGAAATATGAAGGCTGGCAACATCAACCCCACCGTTTGGGAATCCCTTGCAGACAACCACAGTGCCTGGAGACAGACAGGTTGTGTGTCTGCAGCAGTGACCAAAGGAGGAATGACCACTGGGAGGAGCACAGACAGAAGAAACTCCATGGTGCATCTCTAATGGTGAAACCAGATGCCTTCATCTGCCCCAGCTGCAACAAAACATCTCTCTCCCTTATCAGCCTCTAAATTTGGCTTGAATCCTAAATACCTGAAGGTATTCCCTAAAGTACCTCTCAGATGCTGAGACTGGCAGAGCTAGTCTTGGTATCCCTCCACTTTGGGTGGGGGGGCTGGCCAGGGGCCTTCTCTGTGGCGGCCCCTGAGCTGTGGAACACCTTTCCCCCAGAGATGCATCAGGCACCATCATTGTACAGCTTTTGGAGAAAGTTGAAGAGGCACCTCTTTACCCTGGTCCTTATGGATCCTAAGAGCAGCTGGATCAGGCTAAAGGGGGCCCATCTAGTCCAGCACCCTGTTCTCACAGCAGCCAACCAGATGCACATTATGGGAAACACACAAGAAACACCTGACTGTAAAAGCAACTGCCCCCTCCTGTGGTTTCCAGCAACTGGCATTCAGAAGCATCGCTGCCTCCAGCCCTGGAGGCAGAGCATAGCCACTCTGGCTAGTAGCCATTGACACCCGAGATGTGTCTTTTCAGAACCCACCCAATTCTTGTGAACATAATGCGGTTTAACAGCTTTTAATTCTGTATTAAAAATTCTTGCAACCCACCCTGGGGCCCTGCTGGTGAAGCGTAGGTTAATAATTCAACAGCAACGACAACAATTGACGGAGATCCACTTGAATCCCAAGGTTCCTGGCACACCGTCAAACACACTTTTTCTTAGACCTCCAAGCTGTGCAGTTGCTCTTTAAGACCTTCTGGCCAGCAGCCCCACTACTTTTCCCTTCCTCCCCAAGTGAAATTCCAGAGCGCAATCCGCCTCCCAAATAAAGACTGGGTCCCTTTCCAGCACCTACCAGGCTAATTTCCTGGCCCAGCTACCAAGGGCTAATGACCACCATTGTCCACTCCGGATCCCCAGATTCCGTTTGTTCAGTCATCGGCCTCCAAATAACCCAGCAGTTAATTATTTTCCGGCCCCAAACAAAGAGCTTCGCCTCCTGAAACTGGTCCAAAGTCTTTAGCAGCACCTCAGAAGAAGGTGGCATGCTCTCCTTTGTTGGAGGCTTTTAAATAGACTTTGGATGGCCACCTGTCAGGGATTCCTGAGATGTGATTCCTGCACTGAAAGAGGTTGGACTGGATGACCACTGGGTCCCTTCCAACTCTACAATTCTCAGATTCTATGATTAATTGTAGGTTATTCAACAAAGGTTGGATGGCCATCTGTCAGGGATTCTTCAGCTGTGACTCCTGCATTGCAGAGGACTAGACTTAATTGGGGGGGGGGGGGAGGCACGCTCCCCAACCATACAATCCTATAACAGGAGTATGACCTCTCCACTCCACCTATCTCAGGTAATTCCCTCCCCCTACCGATCTCCCCCCCCCCAAAAGGAGCTGGCTGCACAACGACCCTGCATGGAGTACAGCCCAATTAAGACTGGAGCCAGCTTCCCACCCCACCCCATCCTGACTTTCCTCCCAACGGGAAAGTGGGGGAGAAGTGGAGAGTGTCCGTCTGGCTCACCCCCTACCACATCCAGCAACCCCCTCACACACAAAAATATAAAATGGGCATGTCAATGTGATTATCTCCATCAATGGGTCCCCCATGCTGAGAATGAGGTAACAGGCAATTCAAAAGAGAGGCCTTTGTTAAGAGGTTTTGTGGGGTGTGGGGTTTAATGGGGGGGAGAACAAAAGAGGCTGATGAGAACTGACGGAAGCCTGAACAAAAACCGCCTGAACAAAACCCGTAAGGCAGCTGAATGCCGACATGGGGCGATAATTGGAAAAGTGAGACAATGAGGCGCTGGGCCTGGTTTTAAAGACCCAGCCTGCCCAAGGAGGAGGTGGGGGTGGGGATGGGAGAAAAGACCCCAGGGCTCTGCTGAGATCGACAAGGAGGGAGGGAGCCCACTACCCAAATACACAAAAGACTGGATTACTGCAAAGAGCTCTATGTGGGGCTTCCCTTCAGGATGCTGCAGGGTGATTGCTGACAGGAGTGAGGCCTTGTCAACATATGACACCTGTGTGCTCCAGAGATCTGCACTACTTGACCACTGGCTACCAGGCCAAGTTCAAGGTGCTACTGTTAGTTTATAAATCCCTGAACAACTTGGGACCAGATTACACCTGTGCAATTGCCTGATCCCATATGTGCTCCCTCAACTGCTTCAACCAGTGGAACTGGCAACAGTACAGGTGCCACGTAATCCTCACTCTGCTTCTGAAAAGACTTGATCCTTTAGTGCAGTGGCTCCTACACTTTGGAACTCCCTGCCTATTCATATCAGGTAGGCTGCACTCTTTTCAGCGCATACCAAAACACTCCTGTTTATGGACAAGCCTGTCTATAAACTTTGCTTACAAAGTTGATGCATGTCTTAAGCTGTTTTCAATCTATTGTTACTTTAACTTAATGAGAATTAAATTATTGTTGTTGATTTGTCTTATTGATAATTCTATTGTTTTATAGTTTTCTGTAAACCACTTTGAAGTGTTTCTTCTTTTTTTTTGGACTTCCGGGGTGGCGCCATCGGCAATGGCGGACTCCCTCTGATCTGGAGGGACTAGCTCCACGCGAAACGGGTCTTTTCCGCTACGGCGAAGTGGGGACCCTTTCAAAAATCACAGGCGGATGAAGCCTGTGACCATGGGACTCGGCGGGCACCTTTAGCGCCCCCCCAACCCGCAAAAGAACCCATTAACGGGCTCCGGAGCGAAGAGGGGGAAGTGGCGCGATGCTGAGAGTCAACTGCTTTTTCCGTGGAGCGAAGCCGCACAGCCGTTGCCAGAGAGCGCTGCCTTTTTCCTGGGACAATTTGGCTTCTAAAATAATCACCCGTGAGTACTTAAATTTCGGACAATTGGACTTTAAATAAGGACTTGCGAGCCGAAGGGAAAATTGGACTTAAAAGTTTACCTCAATTTGGCACTGAAACGGGAAGGTCTAAACAGGAAGTCAGCCTTCCGTTTCTTTGTAGATAGATTAAAGCAAAGACATGGCAAACTAGAGCTCAGAAAATCGCTTGTAAAAGATTGCTTTCATCATTTAAAATTGTTGAACCCCCCCTTCGGAAGCAGGAGAAGAGGGGGGATTTTTTCCCGGACTGTTTAAACCTGCAGAAGTGAGTGTAAAGTAAAGTAACTTTCCACTGTCCTGATCCTGGAGCGGGGTGTCAGGACTGACGTTTTTTGAAGCTCATTGACCAGAGACAAACGTTTTTGACAGATAGCTATAAGAAGAGAAACATTGATTCCATTGTTCCCTTTCGCAGTTTAAAGGAACAAATATTGACAAAATATCTGAAAAAGGAAATTTTGTTGTTAGACTTGTCTTTAAAAGAAAGAACAAATAGAAGTTTTCCCCCTAGAGGGAGACTGTGAAACTATAACCAACTCCGGGGAGCTTGCAGCTGTTACAGATTACAATCGTGGGAATAGACTTCTGACCTTGCAGGATAATGTATTCAGAAGCTCTGTTGCGTGCTTTCTGTAAAACAAATGCCCTACTGGAACAGCTACATGAGAAGACGGACTTGATGACTGATGCGATCAGAAATTTTGAACAGGCAGTGGGAAATTATACGGAGCCCACCCAGGAATTAAATCAGGAGTGTGCCCTGACAGAACAGAGGAGGGAAGAGGATGTTGCTGAATCTTGGGCGCCAGAGATGAAGGGAGCTGTGGCCCAGCAGGAACATGAGCTTATGGACTTGACAAATGAACTTGGAAAAAGCCAGATTTGGAAAGATGAGGTTTGGTTTGGAAATGGGGGGTTGGATAGACCCCCCTATGCAGGGATGTTTGGACCTTTCAAGTCTGGCAATGGGCCGTGAGTTGTTTGGGGTTGTGAGGGCTCTTAATGTTGGAGGGATTTTGAAACATGTTCTTGAATATCACATGGAGTTTAGTGTGGACTATGGAAAAGGGGCTGATTTGTCGAGAAGGGTCAAAAACATTGTTAAGCTGGAGTTCCCACGAGTGAAAGGAGCAGGAGACAAAGGAAAATACAGTTATAAATATGAAGAAGAGCTGCGGAAGGGACATGGAAGAGACTTAAGGGCCTCGGATACAAGGTTACCAGGTTAATGCACTAGATCGATGGGATAATAAGGACTGACAAAACCCGTGACCAGGAGGAAGGGACGCTGGATGAAGACTGGATTGTTTTTATTTCTTTTTTCTACTACTAGGATTGTTTTATAAAATTGATGAATGTTAGAAAAATGTTGGAACGAAATAACTTGGCTTTAGCAAAAATGTTTAAAGAATTATGTAAGAATATTATGGTTATGAGAAGTTGGTAAAAATAAGATTTAAGTTTTAAGGTTTTTTATAGTAAGATAAGATTAAAATAGATTAAGGTAATGTAATGACAGAATATTATGAAATATGGAAAGGATTTGCTGCAACAATTAACAACTAGGATACAAAAAAGGGAGGAGGAGGAGCCCAAAGAAAGAAGGTAATGACAGTTGAGGATTTGAGAATGATGGACTTGTTTTTGAGTGTTTGTGGTGTATTTTTGTTTTTTGAATTTGTATTGTTTGATGTGGTTTGTTTTTTCTTTGTTTTTTCTTTCTTTTTTTTGCTTTGTTCTTTTTTGTAATTCTAAAAATTTTCAATAAATATCATTTTTTTAAAAATGAAGTGTTTCTTCTTTTTTTAATCAAGCGGTGTATAATTTTATGAAATAAATAAAGACATGAACGACATTTCGCCCCTGCAAACGGGAACTTGCTAAAGAAAGGAGATTCCCTACCCCAGACTGGGAAGGAAAGGAAAAAGCAAGCACAGAGAAGGGTTTTTGCACCTGGGCAGGAATAAATCAGATGCACAAATATAAGATGCGGGGCCACCTGGCTTGACGGAAGGACATGTGGAAAAGATTCAGGGGCCCTATTAGGCCACAAGGTCAATATGATTCAACAGTGTGTTGTATCAGCAAAAAAAAAAAAAAAAAGGCTAGTGCAATTCTAGGCTGTATCATCAGAAGTGCACTGTCCAGATCAAGGACAATAAAGTCCAACAGAAATAGTTGTAGTAGAAGAAAAATCTGATGATTCCAAAATCTGGCTACTACTGTCCCAAAGGAATTGACAGTATGCTCATCAAATTTTCAGGGGACACCAATCTGGGAGGGGTAACCAATACTGCAGAAGATAGAATGCGGACTCAAGATGACCTTAACAGTTAATAACAATAACTCTCCTTCATTGGAAGCTTTGAAACAGAGGTTGGGTGGTCACCTGTCAGAGAGATTCATGAGCTGTGATCCCTGCATTGTAGGAGGCTTCTCTAGATGACTGTTGGAACTCCCTCCCAACTCTACAATTCCATGACTCTATATTCTATAAGGGAAACCAGAAGTCCTCTTCTCTCTCCACCCTAAACTGCATCCAAAAGCACAAAGCTTCCCAAGCTCCCTGGTTATGCTTTCAGAAAGCACAAAGGAGAATGTGCTTTACGCACACGCACACATGTTCTGGCTCTTCTTGCAGGCTCCCCGCCAGAGAAAACCTTTCCCCCTCCCACCACCCAAAATTCCAAATGAGCATAGATTCCTTTGCAAAGCAGCAGGGCTCCAAACACCAGTTAAATGATCTGACAGAAGGGGATCAGGTTCCTCTGTTTGCATTTGGCTTATGGAGGCCTATGGAGCCCCTTCTCCAATGATTTTCGGGGAGGGGGAGGGAAAGTTAGATGGGAAGGTGGCTCGACCCAGCATGATTCCCACTCCTTACTTGACTCCCAAGAGAAAGCCAAAGAGGAAGGCAGCACACACACACACACACACATCCAGCTTCCAAAGCAAAGAATTTCTTTGGCATCTAATGTCAGCATTGGCAGCTGAGCACCTGGTTTGGAAGATGGGGTGAATCTCGGCAGCAAAAGTAGTCGGGGAACTTGATTAGGAGTCTAGTCTCCAAAGAGTATTGTGAGAACATAGAATCGTACCGTAGGAACTGACCAGTGGCTCATCTGGTCCAGCATCCCCTTCTCACAGTGCCCAAATACCCCAAGCGACCTAGGAATCTATGGAATTGGAGATTCCACCACAGCAGGGGTTGGCAACCTAAGGCCCATGGGCCACAAGCAGCCCATGGGGGTCGTTTAACCAACCCCCGAGCCACCCGTTTGGCGAGTCCCCATGGCAATCGCATCTGCGCATGTGCAGACGGCGAAAACTGCGGGTGCGTGCACTATCCGGCCCATGGAGGGATCTCCGCTGGAGTGAACCATCCTAGGCAAGGTAAACCTTGCCGACCCCTGAACTACAGCATCATAACAGACCTGCAGAATAGGGCATCCTATTCTCACCATGGCCAAGCAGGAATTGAGCAGAAAAGCACTCTCCCCTCCTGTGGTTTCCAACAATTAGCATTGCTGCCTCCAAGCTAAGATGTCCAACATAGTCCTCCCCTTCCTCATCCAATCCCCACAACCCTGTAAGGTAGGTTAGGTTGGGAGGCAGTGACTTGCCCCAAGTTCATACCTAGTAAGCTTCATGTCCAACTGGGGATTTGAACCCTGATCTCCCATGTCCAACCTAGTCCAAAACTCTGACCACTATACCACACACTCTCTCATTTTACCTCTCGTTGTTGTATGTTATTTTAAACTACTTTTAATGCTGCACTGCCATGAAACATTTAATGTAGCAGGGTGACAAAATTCACTGGAGTCATTTACAAAAAAAAAAACCTCCAACAGCCAGCTGCCGGGGGGGGGGGGGAGCAGTGTTAGAAACTCAATATATTTAAGCTAATTGCCAAACGGCACCTTAAATCTATGTGTTACAGCTGCCAGAATGAAATGTCTTGATGCTATTTTCCCCCTGGTGAAATTTGTTTTTGTTGATTTCATTTCTATGCCACTATAAAGAAAAAATCTCGAAGTGGTTTATAACACATTAAAACACCAAATCAAACCATTCAGAATATTTCAAGGTAAATATTTCAGTTCCTTCTGTAAATGTCATTTTACTTTCTCTATACTGATTTACCTAGTTAATTTATAGAGCTGCCCCATAGCATAAATACCCTAGGGAGTCACTGTGGTGTAGTGGTTAGTGTGTTAGACTAGGACCTGGGAGATCAGGGTTCAAATCCCCAGTCATGAAGCTCATTGGGTGACTTTGGAGTGAGTCAGTCACAGCCTTTTACCCTACCTCAGAGGGTCATTGCGGGATTTAACCTGGGGTGGGGTGGGGGGGTGGGGGGGGTTGAACCCTTTACTTCTTGGAGAAAACAGTGGGGTATAAATGCAATAAACAAGCTCTTCTGCTTAACTGCTTAAGAAAGCTGGAGGGGGAAGGCTAGATGGAGATGTCAGTCACCAATCCGGCATCCAGAGATCTCCATGAGGTCGCAATTGAACCCGCACCAGTAGCAAAATGCACCTGGTGCCTGGCTAACTTCAAACACTGGGGAGGAGATCCAAGTGTGTGCACCCCACCCCAAAAAATCTCCTTGCAATTCAACAGGTGGGAGAAAACGGCAGGATGAACAACTCCCTCTCTAAGAGCAGACCATAATACCCCTTTTTGTCCCCTCCCTGAAGTAGCTTATGGCTTCTGATTTGGGAAAGGAGGGAGGAGAGAAGGGAAGGAGTAGTGCAGAATTCAGATAGGAGAAATGAGATTTATTCCAACTCAGGGGAGAGTAATTTGATTTTTTTGGCATGCCAAAGTGTCTTCCCCAGTTCTGAGGCTTCGCAGAGCCTCAATGGGAAAATGGGGCAGAAACCTTTTTTTGCTTCTGCATCACACTGCCGACCAAAGTTAGGTTTGCATTCCACTAAGACCCCCTAGATCATCTCGATCTCTCTCCAGTGTTAGAAATTTCCCATGTGCCAGGTGCATTTTGCGACTGGCATGGGTCCAATTGTGACCTCATGGAGATCTCTGGGTGCCAGGATGGTGACTGATACCTGCATTTGGCAGGCCCCTCCAATTTTCTTAACCAGGTAAGCAGAAGAGGTTATTTATTGCATTCCTCTCCCACCTCTTTCTCCAAGGAGTACATGGTTCAAGCCTCTCCCTACAAAGACCCTATGAGGTAGGTTAGGAAGTTGGGGGTGGCCCAAGGTCACCCAGTGAGCTTCATGACTGAGTGGGGACTTGAACCCTGAACTCCCAGGTTCTGGTCCAAAATCAAATCACTACACCACACTGGCTTCCTGGAGTACTTCTGCTATGTGGCAACTATATAAATTAAGTAGCTAATAAATAAGGGAAAGCAAATTGTCACTTACAGAAGGATCTCAGATATGCTCCTTGAAGCTTGAATTTGTTTTATTCTGGATCGTTTTGTTTGATGTTTTAATGTGTTGCAAACTGCTTTGAGTTTCTTTCAAAGTATATAAAGTGATATATAAATGAAAGAAGAATTTTCATCCATGGGGAAATGATGCCTAGACATTCCACTGTAGTGACCATAACTTAGGCTTAAGGTGGCATTTGGTGATTAGTTTATGTACCTGAGTTTCTAACACTGTCTCCTTCCTCTAACCACCTTGCAGCTTGTCAATATCCTTCTAAGGAGAAGTAGGGTGGCCACCTGTCAGATTCTTTAGCTGTAAATTCTGCAATGAAGAGGGTTGGACTAGATGACCCTTGGTGTCCCTCCACAATTCTATGGTTCTTAAACTGGAGTGACCAGAACTGAACATAGGACTCTTTAAGGACTTGGAGGTTAAAGCCACCCAAAGTGCAGGTTCACAAGAAGCCAGGAAATCTGGTTCTGGGTTTTGCACACATATCAGGTGCATGGAAACCTTAGCAACAGTGAATTGACACATCGCAAGTGGCAGGTTCTTACCAGAGAGGACGACAAACATCCAGATTTCCTAGCTGCTCTTCCCTCTGTCTCCCCCAGCAAGTGTTGGGAACTCTGGAGGAGGCCAAAAACCTTCTTGTTTGTTTTGGCAGAGACAGGCAGGAGGCACACAAGCTGCTGATCTAGTCACCATTTTGGCCTTCCCAGAACACCTATAAATTCATACTGAGCTCCCTCAGAAAACAGGGGTCACCCGTCTTCCTGGAGGGTGGCCAGGCATCCCCAATTGCAAAAAAAAAACAACCAAAAACCTTTCTCCTGCAGCAGAAAAGGGCTTGATTCCTCAAGGATACACTGAACTGGCAAGGAAATAAATACAGCCTTTTTCACTTAGCAAAGATTATTCGTACAATCAAAATTTTTGGCGATGCACCCGTGGCTTCAGATTTCAGCCTCCTGTACGTCTTTTGTTTCACTCACTGCGATTTGTGATCATGTGACAGTATCATGGGGTTCTACATGTGGAAGGGACCCCAAGGATCATCTAGTCCAACTCCCTACCTTGCAGGTATCACAGCTACAGCAACATGACCACATGGTAGCACTGAGCAATTGCAAATCATATCTGGGTGTGCCATCAACCCCTCCCAGCCATTTGGCTTGATCTTTGGGCAGTCGTGTTCGGTTACCAGGTTCCATTCATTGCTTGTTTCATTCATTCACTGGGGGTTCCTGGATTGACATCACTCCATATGGAAAGGATTTGTGGGTCTTCTGGTAGACCAAAAAACTTAACATGAGTCAACAGTGTGATGCAGCAGCAAAGAGGACAGAGGAGAGGGCTATTGATGGCTGCTGTCCATGATGACTGTGCTCAGCCTCCACAGTTGGAGGCAGCAATGCTTCAAAGTACCAGTTGCTGGAAGCCACAGGAGAGGGAAAGGGCTCTTCATTTGGGTCCTGCTTGTGGGCGTCGCACAGGGATAAGTGTGAGAACAGGATGCCAGACTAGATGGCCCAGTGACCTGATCCAGGAAGGTTTGCCTTATGTTAGCTGTAATTCCTGCATGGCAGGGAGTTGGTCTGGATGACCCATGGGATCTCCTTCCAGCTCTCCAATTTCTGTTTCTTACAGCAATTGTGCCCCACTCTTCAGCCAAGAAGGCTCCCAGAGGGCCTTACATGCCGTCAAAACAGGCTTACAATCAAAAAGACACACAAGGGAAGAGAAGAGAAAAATCAAAGTTCTTCATATGTGATCCAACCAAGGAGCTGCCCATTCAGCTATAGGGGATTTCTTTTCTTTCTTTCTTTTCATTTTAGTGCCCAGCAACAGATTTTAAAACTGACTCTCACAGTTCAAAATAAAACAAGCAAGTATTCCTATAACCTCTGTAAGGCAACAGTTGCTGCACCTGCAATCATTCAAAAGCTCAATAAATCCAGCCATAAATCCAGATTAAAGGACAGTCAAAGGGAAAAACAGCAAACGGCTTTGAAGGCTCGTGAAATGGACTGTCCAGATAGTGAATCACTCTCCCCATCTGCAATGCTGAACCCTGATGGCCACCTGTCAGGGATTCTTGAGCTGTGATTCCTGCACTGCAGGACTTTATTTTATTTTTTTTTATTAAAGTTTTAAACAACAAAAAAAAGAAAAACAACACACACAAAAAACAATACAAAACTTAACAATATATGCACTGCAGGACTTTAGGCCACATGACCCTTGGGGAATCCCTTCTGACTCTACAATTCTAGAATTCTATGGAGGCGCTGAGTAACCATGTGCCTCAATATATCTGTAAGAAATAAAAACATGCAATAAATTTAAAAAGCACTTTGTTTCAGGGCGCTATTGCGGACTATTCTGCTTCCCCGTGTAGCCGAATTTAAGGAAGGAAGCGGGGGGGAAACCTCAGGTCGCATTTCTGTTCTGCATTCTCTTGAGGCAAACATAAACAGGGTTGTTTTTCTTTTTGTGAAATCCTCACATCTGGGCAAGCACCTTTTAAGCCAGTGTGTTATAGTGGTTAAAGCACTAGGACAGGGGTCTGCAACCTTTAAGACAAAAAGAGCCACTTGGACCCATTTCCGAAGAAAAAAAAACTGGGAGCCGCAAAACTCGTCATTATAAAAATAACTTTTTTGTCACTTTTTTATTATTTCTTTGTTTGACCCCTCAGAATTACTCCTCCTCATAGAAATAAACATTAAATTAACAAGTTACCTTTTTGTGTGTGTGTGCGTGTGTTCTTCACTCCCCTTCAAAACAGTGACCAGCGTACATGCCCCCTTTCAATGCAGTGACCAGCGTACATGCCCCTTACAATGTAGCAGGTGGGCAGGCGGGAAGGTGACGTCGGGACGGTGTGTGTCTAACACACGCACCGCCCCCATGCGACGTCACAGCCAGTACAGCGCCCGCCACAGTGGGGAGTGTCGGGGCGCACAATGCGCCTCCTCCCCTCGCTAGTATCCGCCCCGGAGCCGCGGCAAAGGTGTAAAAGAGCCACATGCGGCTCCGGAGCCGCGGGTTGCAGACCCCTGGACTAGGACCTGGGAAAGACCAGGGTTTAAATCCCCACTCAGCCATGAAGCTCACTTGGGTGACTGACCTTAGGGGCCAAATCACTGCCCTTCTCTGCCTAACCTCCCTCAAGGAGCTGTTGTAGGGAGAGAAATACGTATGCCACCATGAGCTCCTTGGGAGGAAAAAAGGTGGGATATAATTGCAATGCAAAGAGTCCGTCCACATGAGTTACAGACAGTGGTCCTCAAATCAATGCTATTAAATATACTGGGCACTTAGAGCTCAGGTCTCTTGCCCATTTTCCCCACCTAGTCCGGCATCCTGTTCTTACAGTAGTCAAAACCTCTAGGAATCTAGATATTAGCAACTGGTATTTGGAAGTATTTACTGCCTCTGACCATGGAGGCAGAGAATAGCTATCCTGGCTAGAAGCCAACAATAGCCCTCTCCCCACAAAATTGCCTAATCCTTTTTTAAAGCCCTACAAATTGGTGGCCACTCCTGCCTTCTGTGGGAGAGAGTTCCAAAGTTTAATTTGAAGTGCTTCCTAGGCTGGATTCAACCAGAGATAGTGAGTGGGAGGGAGAGAGGGAAGGGAGGGGGGAAAGAGAAAGTGAGAGACAAAGAGAAAGAGGAAGAAAGGAGGGAAAAAGAGAAAGAGAGAAAAGAGGTTTCCCAAAATGTCCGCCACCACACAGAAAACAACTTTGCATGTCAACAAACCCAGCCTTCTGTCGCAGCCGTGAACTGGGAGGATTTTCTCCATGGCAACCATTTCCCAGGAGAGGCCTTGTGAAGTGGAGGCCGTGACCATTCTGAGCTTGCCGTTTGCAAAACCTGATCCCCAGCGAGCAAGAGGCTCCTTCCGGTCCTTGCAGGCGCCGCTGCTGGCCCTTAGCTAAGATCCTTACATTCCCTTTAAAATCAGCTCCTTCAAGACTGGAATACCTCTGCTTACGTATCCCTCTAGATATGTAAACTTCAGGTTGCAAATGCGGCAAACCCGGAACTGTATACTTCCAGGTTTCGCCACGCGCGCATGCGCAGAAGCGCTCAATTGTGCCACGTGCATACGTGCGCAGAAGGGCGCCTCCGGTTACGCACTTTTCAGGATACGGCCATGCCTCCGGAACGGATCCAGTCCATAACTGGAGGTACCACTGCACTGCAATGGGCTCTTGGTGGGGCTTTTGTCATGCTGGATCCAGAAGCTGCAGCCAGAGCAGGATTCTGCAGCCCAGTTGCTGCAAGGCCTTGTTGTATATATAATCCCTATACAGTACTCAAAAGATCTGCACTGGTTCTCCATTTGCTACTAGGATGAGTTCAAGTGGTACAGGTGGCGACCATTATGCATGGGGGTTCTGTTCCTGACCCCAGTGCGCATCAGCGGAAGACACATAAGCCACACACACACCCATGTTCCATTCCGCCCCACCCCATTTTTGGTCCACTTCATTGTCGGCAGCAACAAGTGTGTGATTGCATATCAATTGGACATGCATAAAATGGTCACTGCCTATATACAAAGCCCTTAATAATTTAGGACCAATTTACCTGTGACATTGCCTTACCCCACTGGAGCCCACACAACTGCGGCAGTCCTTTACAGGTACCACATAATCCCCATTCCACATTTGTAAGGACTCAACTCTTTTATAGTGCTGCCCCCTACACTGTGGGACTCCCTGCCTTTTGATGCCAGGCAGACACCTTCACTATACCATTTACTGTTTCTATTGTTGTTGCCCATGTTTCTAATGGATCTTTCTCAATATCATTTTAATTTCTATTAGTGTGCAATTACATTTTAATGTAATTTCCTGCGTTTTGAGCTTCTTCTATTTTATCTTGAATCCCGAACTGGTATTAATAGTAATAGCAATAATAGTAATGATAATAATAAATCAATATTTTAGTGTGGAAGCAGCCAAACTTTGGAACTCCCTGCCTATTGATACCAGGCAGGCACCTTCGCTGTACATTTTTCAATGCCTGCTAAAAACATTTTTTGTTTAAGACAAACCTTACCCTGTTACCTGGAATGACGATGTGTGTTTTTTTTAGTTTAATTGAATGTTTCAACCATTTTTACCAATCACCCTATTGATTTTTAGTCTTTTTGCAAACCGCTTTGAGGTTTTCTACAATCAAGCGGGGCTTAAATTTTATGGAAAGGAATACATTTAATTGGCAATCACGACGATGAGAGCTATTATTGGCTCCGACTGCAGCTGCTCAGTTTCTTTCAGCGGGAGAGGTCTCTAACCTGCCTCTACCTCTGTGGGGTCTATTTTTAAACCTCAGACGTCCTTTCTACCTGAGTGGGTTCAGCAGATCTCCAGGGAACAGGAAAATGGGATTGCTGAGCTTGTAAAAGACAAAGACAAGACTCGCCCTCAGAGAGACAGCAGAAATTAGAGGTTAACACAGTTCTCTCCTAACCAACCCAAACCAAAAGTATTTGGAGAGGTTCCAAACAGTTCCAAGCAAATACAGATATCCATGTGCAAATACTTACAGTGTTAAAACAAGACGGATATTGATAAGCTGGAAGGTGTGCAGAGGAGGGCAACCATGACCATCAAGGGTCTGGGAGCCAAGCCCTATGAGGAATGGTTTATCTGTGGGTTCTGCATTGTAGGGGGTTGGACTACTAGATAACTCTTGTGGCCCCATCCAATTCTATAATTCCATGAAAGAGAGAGCTGGACATGTTTATTCTGGGGAAGAGCTGGCAGAGAGGGGATATGAGAGCCACCTTCAAATATCTGAAGGGCTGTCACACGGAATATGGAGCCAATTTAGAGAACTTTTTTATGCCTTTCCAATGCTTAACATGGATCATCACAAATCTATTGCGGAAAAAACCCCAAACAGAACAAAAAAGTTTCTTTTAAACGTTTATATTTTTTATATGCACTTTCTGGCTAATTGTTTTCTTTTCCTATTCCATGTTTCATTTGTATAATAAGCAGGGCATAGTTGCTTGGAGTGGGGGCTTGTACATCAATACAAATCCCACGTAAGGGTTTTTAGCTGGTCTGCATTTGTTGGGGGACCTGGGTGGAATTCACTCGGGCCCAAACCCACTCTTGGGGGCCCTTAGTGAGAATGACCCTCCCCTGGGATCTGTGGCTCCTCAAGGAACAGGCTGCTTGCTGATGCATTGAGCTGAGACAGCCTCCTCCTGCTTCAATGTAGTTTCCAATTTTTATTCCTCATTCTAAAATAAGTGACTCATTGGCCATGTGCAACGCTCAAAGCGAATTCCAGGCTTGTACTGGCACGAAACATTCATTAAGCAAATCAGAGAGTTGCAGATTCAGCATAAGCAATGTGGGGATAAATTTCTAAGTGGAGATACCCAGGTCAGAATGACCCACAGGGACCTCCAAGCCCAAATGGAGCGAAGGAGTCCCAGACCAGAGAACTGGGCTACAGCTCATCCAATTACCGTATTTTTCTGTGTATAAACGAGGTTTCTTTTTATTAAAAAAAATAGGTTTAAAATTGGGGCTCGTCTTATACACGGGTAGTGCTGAGGGGTGTTTTCTTAATTTGGAGTACCCAGAAATAGGGGGACGTCTTATACATGGGGGCGTCTTATGCGTGGAAAAATATGGTGATTTCAATAGGGGCAAATGCCAGGTTCTGCATTTAGTCAGGAATAATCAGATGCCAAAATATGGGGGGGGGGGCGCACCCGGCTTTATAGCAGGACATGTGAGAAGGAAGATGATGTCTTGGGGGACCACAGGCTTAACACGAGCCAACAGCAAAAAAAGGCTCATGCAATTACAGGCTGTATTAACTGAACTCAAGTGTCCCGATCAAGAAAAATCACAGCACTACTCTATACTGCTTTGATCAGACCCCACTGGGAGTGCTGGTTCTGGGCACCCAAAATTCTAAGTATCATAGAATTGTAGAGTTGGAAGGGACCTGAAGGTCATCTAGTCCAACTCCCTGCAATGCAGGAATCACAATTAAAGCATCCTTGACAGATGGCCACCCAACCTCTGCTTTAAATGCTCCATGGAAGGGGAGTCCACAACCTCCCAATGGAGTCCATTCCACTGTCAAGCGGCTCTTACTGTCAGAAAGTTCCCCCTGATGTACAGTTGGAATTTCCCTTCTTATAATTAGGAATCCATGGGTTCAAGTTACAAGGAGGATATTCAAGAAGCACGTTGGCAAGGTTGACTGTGTGCAGCAGAAGGCAACCAAGATGATCAAGGATCTGGAAACCAAGACTTAGACGGTTAAGCTGTGATTCCTGCATTGCAAAGGACTAAGATGACCCCCAGAGTCCCTTCCAGTTTGTTTTCTGATGCTCCAGGGTAGAAGACCCAAACCAATGGATTCAAGTTAAAATAAAGGAGATTCAGACTAAACAAGAAGAACTTTCTTGATGGTAAAACCATTCTGAAAATGGCGTGTTAAGGATATTCAGAATTATCGAGTATTCAGAAGCATTCCTGCCTCCAACTGTGGAGGCAGAGTATAGCCACTGTGGCCAATAGAAATTAATAGCCTTCTCCCCCATGAAGTCTAATCCTGCTTTAAAGCCATCCAAGTCTGAGGCCATCATGAGCTCCTGCAGAAGTGAGTTCCACAGTTTAACTAAGAAGTCTTTCCTTCTAACTCTCCTGAATCTCCCAACATTCAGCTTTGATGGGTGTCCACTTTCTCTAGGCCACAGATAATTTCATAGGCCTCTATCATGTTTGCCTCTTACTCATATGGCCTCTAAACTAAAAAGTCCCAAACAATGCAACCTTTCTTCATGCACTGCAACTCTTCTCTTTTGGAAGTTTTTAAGCAGAGGTTGGGTGGCTGTCTGTCACAGGGGAGTCACTCCGTCCCCTTGACAGTTTTGGTTGCCCTTTCCTGAAACTTTTCCAAATATCCATTTTGAGGTGACATGACCAAATATTCCAAACACACCAAATATTTGTATAATGCATTGCGATACTGGAAGCTTTATTTTCAATTCCTTCCCTAATGACCCCTAGCACCAGGGAGTTTGTGCCCATCAAATAAAGGGGACCCGGAGTTGCCCTATTATCTCCAGGTTTTGGGGAGGGAGGGCAGCAGCACCTGGAGTGGGGGGAGGAAGGAAGAGGGAGCAGGCCTCATCCAATCACATTTGCCTCATAGACAAAGAAACGAGGTCACACAAGCTCGGAGCCTCTGAAAAGGAAAGGGAGTTCATTACTTGTCAAGCCCTTTTCAATGGGGTGGAATGTGGGAGGGCCCCCTTTTCAAGGGCCAATCCATCACCCAGAGCTAGGGGGCAGGGAGGTGAGAGAGAGGAGGCCTTTGCAGAAAACACACCACCCTGCCAGCCTTGACAGCTGGGAGTGGGGATGCTCAGAGTGCAGATACAGATCCAGGCTCGCAGGGCAAAACATATTCTGGTGGGCCTCGAGGGAGAATGGCCCAAACCATGTAAATCAGGGTGGTCCGACATGCAGCCTTCCACAACATTTGATGCCCCCCTCCCTCCTTCAAGCTGCCTTCCCAAAGCCTGGTGAGTGGGGCAGGCTCTGGGCTTTGGAAAGGAGGTGGAAGGGTGTCAAATTCTGGCCACTCTCCTGCACCACCATGGTGCAACAAGGCAGGTTCCATGATGAAGTACTCTTGTGGCCTAGTTGTTATGAAAATGTGGACCACCCTAACCTAGAATGTAGAATTGTAGAGTTGGAGGGTAACCTGCAATGTTCATCTAAGTCCGCTCCTCTGCAATGCAGGAATATCAACTAAAGCATCCATGACAGGTAGCCATCCAACCTCTGCTTAAGAACTTCCAGCGAAGGAAGGCGCACCACCTTCCAAAGGCCCCTGTTCCAAAGGAGCCTGTTCCACTGCCCAATGGCTATCGCCCTCAGAAGGTTCTGCCTAACGCTTCGTTGTTTGCAGTTGGTTGGACTAGATGACCCTTGGGGGTTGTTTCCAACCCTAAAATTCTTTGATTCTGTGCAACAATTCTAGAGTGTTTCTTTGCAGGGGGTTTAAAGCTCTTAAAGCAGAAATACGATCCCACTGGGTGGAAAAAAATAATAATTGTTGGAATGAGGAAGGCTTCAGAAATTGAGAGGGGAGAATGAGCAATGCGTTCAGCAGACTAAGCAATCCAGCAGGACCCTGTTAAAGTGGGAAATGATCTGCAATAATTATTCCAGTCGTCTCTCTGGAACCAAAGTCCTGCTCAGAGAGAAAGAGTCTGAGGGCAGGAATGGATCAGGGACACTCTACAAGTTTAGAGAGGCTGGAGGGGATCCCAGAAGGTATATGGGGATGCCAGCAGCAGGCTCCCAGCAAAGAGTGGGGCCACAGCAGGCTGGCAACCCCTTGTGGAAAAACAGTTCAAATTCCAACATGCCAGTATTCAGGTAGGGGCTGGAAGGCAGGTGGAGATGCCCTCTGATTTAGAGTCTGCTGGATCAGACCAAAGGGCTATCTCGGCTAGCGCCTTCATCCCACATTGCCTAACCAGACAGATGCCCTTAATGGGAAACCCACAAGCAGGATTTGAGCACAGCAGCGCTCTCCCCTCCTGGGGTTTCCAACAATACGCTGTCTCCATCTTTGGAGGCAGAGCACAGCCATTGTGGCTATTGATAGCCCTCTCTTCCTCCATGAATTTGTCTAATCCTCTTTTAAAGCCATCCAAGTCGGTGGCCGTCACTGCCCTCCTGCAGGAGCGTAACTAAGGAAGAATTTCTTTTATCTGTCCTGAATCTGCCAACATTCAGTTTTGCTGGATGTCCACGAGTCCTGGCGTCATGAGAGGAATAAAACATTTCTCTCTCCAACTTTCTCCAGGCCATGAATAATTTTATAAACTGCCGCCATATTGCCACTTCCCTGCTTTTCCTCTGAACCGAAAAGTCCCAAACGCTGCAATCTTTCTTCATCAGGGCATCACTCCAACCCCTTGATCATCTCAGCTGCCCTTTTCTGAACCTTCTCCAACTCTGCAGTGCAGTTGCGAATTCCTACATTGCAGGGGGTTGGACTAGATGAGCCTTGGGTTCCCCTCAAACTCCACAATTCTATGATCCTTTTTGAGGTGAGTTGCCCAGTACTGTGCACAGTAACTCACAGATCGGATTAGGGGTTTCTGAACTTTCTCTCCCCGCCCCCCATCACAGCTGGGTAGGAAATCTATAACCGGTTTTATCCTGGACTTCGCCTCCAAGATCATTTCACTGACACTCACCCTAAGTGCGTCTGCCTACTTTGAAGTATTTGGCAACAGTTACGCAGAGATACAACCTTTATTGCATTTCCTATGAATCACTGTAACTGCATATATATTTTTCGTAACAAAAGTAATTTTATGCTTTTTACCCTTTGCGGGGGGGTTTCTTCCATTTTTAATTGGGTGAGCTTTCTTTCAAGTTACTGGTTCAGTCTCCCATTTCTTCCTTCCAGATATATTTTACTGGCAGACAAAAAAAGGACTCTGAAAGCAGGAGTTGCCGGGGGGGGGGGGGGGCGACCAGATGCAGATTCATTTCAATAGCCCAGACACAGTGTCCTACCCTGTAGAGGAGTCGTTAGGAATACAGATAGCCAATATCATACAATTTCAGCACTTTAGCTCAGAGAAGAGCTGAGAGGTGATATCATCATCATCATCATCAATTTCTTTATCCCCTGCCCTTTTTCCTGAAAGGAACTCAAGGCGGCTTACAAATAAAATAAGAATAGCTAAAAACACAGGGAAGGAGAAGCAATAATTTAAAAACACTTAAACATTAATATAATTAAAATGACATATATAATTTGGAATAAACCGTATTGCATCTAATATAGATATAAATAAAGCTCTATTAAAAACATATAATCACAATAAAAGCAGCACAGCACCAGGCGTTTCACTAAAGCAGCCAGTCCCCAAGCAGGCTGTTGAAACAAGGTTTTCACCTGCTGGGAGAAGGATAGCAAGGAGGGAGTCAGTCTGGCTTCTCTGGGGAGGGAATTCCTAAGCTGTCTAAGAGGAGCCACCAGTGAGAAGGCCCTTTCCTGCAACACCACCAAGTTGAGGGTGGTGGGACTGAGAGAAGGGCCTCCTCCAAAGATCTCAAAGCCCAGGCAGATTCATATGCAGGAATACAGTCTTCCAGGTAGCCTGGACATAAACTGTAGATAAAAGCCACCTGAAGATGGAACAAGCTTGTTTTCTGAAGCATCGGACAGGAGGACCCAGATTCAAAAACAAGGAGATTCCAACTGAACATTAGGAAAAAACTTTCTGAAGGTAAGAGCTTTTCCACAGAGGAACACAGTCCCTTGGAAAATACTGGACTATCCCTCATTGCAGATTTTTAAACAGAGGTCAGTTGATCTTCTGTCAGGGATTCCTTTAGCTGTGATTGCTGAATTGCAGGGGTTTGGACAATTCTAGGATCCTTTTTAGGAAAAGAGAAACCAGCCTCCAGGATCACACTTTCCTCCTACCACTTTTAGCTGCTTGCACATTTTCAGGAGCATAAGCAAATTATGGGGACTCCTGAGTTAAGGGCAGCTTTTCAGTGCTGCCTCGCTGACAAGTCAGGCATCTGTGTGCCTTTCGGTGGCCTCTGGTCAACCTATTTCTGCAGGGCAAAGTCTTGGCCTGGGGGAGGCTAAGACAAGCTTGTACAAAAGAGCTTACTGGATCAGGCCAGCGGCCCACCTACTCCAGTGTCCTCTTCTCACAGTGGCCAAATAAATGCCCCTCGTGCAAAACCCACAAACAGGATTTGAGCACAAGATTCACTCTCTGCTCTTGTGGCTTTCAGCAGCATTTGCTGCCTCCAACAGTGCAGGCAGAATACGTAGATATCCTGGCTAGCAGCCACCAATAACACTGTTCTTGAATTTGTCCAATCCTCTTTTAAAGCCACCCAAGTTGGTGGCCTTTATTGCCTCCCGTGGGAGCAAGTGACGTTGTTTAACTACGTACTAAGTGAAGAAATCCTTCATTTTATCTTCCAACATTCAGCTTCTTGGGATGCCAATGAATTCTGGTGTTCTGTGAGAGGGAGAAGAACTTTTCCCTACCCACTTTCTCAATGCCAGGCATGTCACCACTTACTTGCCTTTTCTCTAGGCTACAAAAATCCCAAATGCGGCAACATTTCTTCACGGGGGAGTCGCTCTGTCCCCTTGATAATTTTGGTTGCCCTTTTCCAACCATGCACTATCCTTTTTCAAGTGAGGCAACCAGAACCGTACAGAGTATATTGCAAGTGTGGTTGGCACCAAGAGATTTATCTAATGGAATTATTAGGTTACCAGTAGTTTTATTTTCAATTCCTTTCCTGGTGTACAGCCATCAAGCTCCCTTAACTGGGAGGCAAACCTTGCTCCAAAAAGAAGGAAGGAAGGAAGGAAGGAAGGAAGGAAGGAAGGAAGGAAGGAAGGAAAGAAAGAAAGAAAGAAAGAAAGAAAGAAAGAAAGAAAGAAAGAAAGAAAGAAAGTCTGGGCATACACAGAGTGAGCAACATCTTAAAAACATGCTTCTCTCCTGGGAGAGGAAGGTGGCCTGAAATGGACTCCCTGCTTCCCTCTCACGGGAGACCAAGATCATGTTGGTGGCAAAACTAAACAAAGGAATTGCACTCCTCACAAAAGCAAAGCTGAGTTTGCAGGCAGGCCTGCAGGCAACTGCACACTCTTTCTTTTAATTAGCACGCACATTTGCAAACTGCCCTCCTGTTCCAAGTGAAGACCAATCGCTCCCACTCCTGCATCTCCACACACACACATACTTGCCCTGTCTCAGCCATTTCAGGGGCTGCTTGCTTAAGAGACCATGTTTTTAATCAAAGGGAAGGGAGAGCGCACCAAGCAGTTCCCTCGCAGCCCTGCCTCTTTGGGGCCCAGGCAGAGACAGCAGTTTTGCAGAGCAAGAAAGAAGAATGCAAATGTTCAGAAGGGCTTGCAAAGGCAGGACAGGACCCAGCTGGAGCAGAGAGCATCAGAAGAGCTCTGCTGGATCAGGCCAATGGCCCATCTAGTCCAGCATCCTGTTCCCACAGTGGCTGACCAGATGCCCATTATGGGTTTGAGTGCAAGAACAAAAGAAGGTGATTTCTTAATAAAAATATATGGAACTTTATCTCTTCCTGCCATTACATGCCTCACTTTCTCAGCCTCCTTTCCTACAGATATTAAACAGAGAAACATAAGAAGAGCATGCTGGATCAGGCCAGCCAGTTGCCCTAATGGAAAACCCCCAAGCAGGATTTGAGCGCAAGAGCTCTCTCCCCTCCTGTAGTCTTCAGCAACTGAGATTCAGAAGCATGGCTGTTTCCAGCTGTGGAGGCAGAGCATGGCCATTATCCTGGCTAGTAGCCATCAACAGCCCTCTCCTCAAGGAATTTCTCTCATCTTCTCTTAAAGGCATCCAAGTTGGCGGCCATCACTGCCTACTGCGGGAGTGAGTTCCATAGTTTATGTGTGAATAAGTACTCTTCCATCATGCCTTCCCTTTTCCTCACCTTTTATCTAAACCAAAAAGTCCCAAACTCTAAAACCTTTCCTCACAGGGGAGCTGCTCCATCCAACAGAGGTTGGATAGCCACCTGCCAGGGGTTGGGCTAGATGACCCTTGGGATCCCTTCCAACTGTACTATACACAACTATGATTAAGGAGCACCTTGCAGGGAATGAGAGGCTCTTAATTCTGCATCAACACAAGGGGGAAGGGGCTTACTGACATAAGGGGGGCTCTCTCTGGTCCTCATCATCTATAAAAAGCCAAGCTGGGAAGCTTCCCATCTCTGGTTGCCCATTGAGATATCATGCACTGACAGCATTCAGCTGCGCAAGGTTGTGCCCATTACTGTAAAAAGACCTTTGTCAAGGGCCACTGGCAAACGGTGGAGAGCAAATCTGACCTCAGTCCTGAGGGGGCTCAGGCTACTGGCCGGCAGGAGGTGCGGGATGTTCAGCAACGACAAACAGGGGAGGAAGAAGCAGGTTGTAGAACTTTAGAGTTGGAAGGCAGCCTAAGAGACATCTGGCCCAACTAGTAAAAAATAAAATATTATTTTAAAAAAAATCTGGCCCAACTACTGCAAGTTAGGAATCACAGCTCAATAATCCCTTCACAGGTAGCCATCCTGCTTTCAAGGAATGGCATCCACCATCTTCTGAGGGAGTCCACTCCACTGCATATCAGCCCTCCATGATTGCTCAAGAACTTCGGATGGAAGCAAAAATCCATCCAGCCCACAATATTCTACTTTCCACAGCAGACAGGAGGAAGAAGGAAATAAGGAAGAATTCTACCCCCAACCACTTGCCAGCTTCCAAGCCCATGGCATTTAGAGGTAGAATTTTCCTGCACATGGAAGGTACGCTGTGGCTACTCAACTAGCTTGCAATACAATTGGGAAGTGGGGAGAATGGGGAAGGGGATCCAAGGGCCATCTAGTCCAATCCCTGTTTCCCCGCCCCGCCCCCCAAAAAATTCAGGAATCATGGCCAAGTTTATTTTGGCTTGCCTGGCACCACCATTACTCATCTTTAGGTGCCAGGCAAAAAATTCCTTTTTTGCCACGCCTTGGCTTTTAATCATCTATCGCCTTTTTGCGTGGGTGGGATGTTTTAACATAGGGTTTTTTTTAAGGAAAAGACACACCTTTCTTTCTCTCTCTCTCTCTCTCTCCCTCACACACACACACACACACACAAACACCTATACACACACACACACACACACACACACACACACACAAATGCTGGTTATCATGTATGTATGGGGGGGTTGGGTTGTTGTTGTTTTTGCTTAAAATATTGTAAATCACTTTGTGTTGCCCTTACACCAGGCTGCCTCAGTGGGAGAGATGGGGAGAAGGCTCATTCCATCATTTCTGTCAAAAATACAGACCCATCAGCCCCTGAACTGTGGCAGCTGCCCACTGCAGCAACAACAGTTTAGAAACTGCTGTCTGAGTTCTGATATTTTTGGTCCCTCCTCGACTCGTTTTCCTTGTGTGCTGTGTTTGTTTGTTTGTTTGTTTGTTTGTTTGTTTGTAAGATTCTTAGCCTCCATGGGCAGAGAATGTCTCATTTTCATTTTTCACTGAAGCTGCTCTGGGAGCCTTTTTGGCTGACGGGAGGGGATGAAAATGCTCCGAATAAATGAAATGAAAACGAAATGTAATGTAATGTAATAATATAATAATGGTTTCCCCAGGCTGCAACACCTCAACCTGGAGGCAGAAACTTTAAGGACCTGCCGTCTCTTGTCTCCCTGATATGGGGAAAGGTTGGGTGGCCACCTGTTGAGGATTCTTTAGCTGTGATTCCTTCACTGTAGGGGGTTGGGCTGGATGACCCTCAGGGTCCCCTCCACCCCTAAAATTCTGGTTCTATGCTGACTAGGCCTCGCTTCTTTCAATAATCACACCACAGCATTACGGATTCAGCACAAGGGAAGCCCATATAGAGGGATATAGGGGGAGCAGCCAATCCTGCGATCCCACCCACCCCTCTGCCTGCAACCTGACAATGGTATGGCCCAGGTACACCTGATGTCTCAGGTGAAACAACACCTATTGCCTTCCCTTTTCCCAATCCCAGGCCCGGGAGCCCTTGGCTCCTGTCCAGCTCCTCCTCCACCAGCCTCTTTTCTAAAGTGGAGCTAGGCCGACATGAAGCCCTGCACTCCTCTCAGCACCTGAGGAAATGAGAGGCCATCGTGGCTGTTTGATGAGGGAGGCATCCTGGTCTCATAGAGGCCAACCAGATGCACCAGGGTGAAAGCAGCAAGGTAGCTACTCTCCCGCTGTGCGGTTTCCAGCAACTGCCATTCAGAAGCATCAGGCCTTGTAAGCACACAATGAGATCCCATGTAGCCAAGCATTCCTGTTCTCTCAGTGGTAGACCTTATGCCGTCTGCTGGGAAGCCTGCAAGGAGGATTCGAGTACAAATGAACTCCCCCTCCAGAGGTTTCCATAAGAACACAGGATGAGGCTGACTGGATCAGGCCAAGGGGCCCATCCGAAACAGTATCCTGTTCTCACATTGGCCAAACAGATTTTCTCTATGCTGCGCCTAATTGAATACACTATGTTTACTGACTAAAATGGCAAGAAGGAACTTTGAATTTTTGTGAATAGTGAGGCCAGTCAGGTGGGGAACAATCCCTGCGTGAAACCAGGTAATAGGACCTGAGCACAAGAGTCCTCTCTCCTGTGGTTTCCAGCAACTGGGGTTCAGAAGCATTGCTGCCTCCGGAGGCAGAGCACAGCCCATTGTGGCTAGAAGCCATCAATAACCCTCTCCTCCTCCACAAATTTGCCCAATCCTCTTTCAAAGCTATCCCATTTTGTGGCCATCACTGCCTCCTGTGGCAGTGAGTTCCATAGTTCCCCTTGATCATTTCAGTTGCCCTTTTCTGAACCAGCCTGAAACCTATTCTTTGTTTGGAGTCTTTACTTCTAAGAAGGGACACATGAAGGCCCATGTGGATCAACATTTACCCGATGCAAAACAGTGAAGGCCTTTTGAGGAAGATCCGTAGGAAAGGAGCTGAAAACAAAAATGCCACATATTTTTTTAAAAAAAACCTATGGTCTGTCCTCATTTGGAACATCCTGTGCACAGTTCTGCTCACCTCAAAAATGGTATTACAAAGATGAAAAAGGTTCAGAAAATCAAACGAGCAAGGGGATGGAGTATCTCCCCTTTGAGGAAAAGTTGCTGTTATTGGGGCTTTACAGTTTGGAGAAAAGGTGAGTAAAAGGTAACATGACAGAGGTTTCAAAAATTATGCAGGGCATGGAGAAAGTGGAGTGGGAGAAGTTTTCCTCCCTGTCTAACACTAGAATTCGTGGGCAATTCAGTGAAGCTGAATGTTGGAAGATTCAGGGCAGATGAAAGAAAGTCCTTTTTCACTAAGTGCAAACTACAGAACGTGCTCCCCCAGGAGGCAATGATGGCCACCAACTGGGATGGTTTTAAAAGACGAATGCACAACTTCCTGGAGAAGACGACTATCAATGGCTACTAGCCATAATGGCTATGCTCTGCCTCCAGTTGGAGGCACCTTCTGGGTATCAGCTGGTGGAAACTGCAGGAGGAAAGAGGACTCTTGTTGCTCAGATCCTGCTTGCTGGTTTTCTGCAAGAGACATCTGGTTGGCCACCGTGTGGACAGGATGCTGGAATGGAAGGATGGAACCTTATCCAGCAGGTTCTTCAGACGTCCTTATGACTTCTCCACAAAATTTCACCCCTTGGCTCCAAGATGTTACTCCGTTACCCTGAATTGAGCAACCCCGGACGTCTGGCATTGCAGAAAAAAGGATGACTGAAATCACCCAAGCAAGGCCATTGTTCTCCTTTCCCCGGAAAGATATTTGCTACGCAGACTTCCCACTTCAGGCACGAGGGGATAAAATTAAAACCAGACCAGCGTCTGTCTGTCTGTCTGTCTGTCTGACACACTCACAGACACGAGCATATATACAGGGACTTTTCCTGGAAGGAAAATTCCAACAGACGATCAAGAATCAATAGCGAATTTGAAACGCAGAACGAATCGTAAGCATTTCACGAATTATTCGAGACATCTTCGCCCTGCAACTACAAAGAAATAAATGTTTAAATATTATGAAAAGGTAGAGAACTCCGATTCCATTATCTCTACCAAAATACAAAACAAATGATTGCTTGCTTACCTAGAAGCAATGCTAGATGTCCCCTTCCAACTCTACAATTCTATAAAACTGAAGATTTAAAACAGGTAAAATCTGGTAAAGCGGCGTTTGTTCCTTCCATCAGATATTTAACTCAAGAATGTTAGCCAAAGGGATGTTTTAAGGAAAGCTAAAAATTCTCCCACAATCCTGGCTTTGGTGGCATTCAGATAGTTATAAACTACTGTTTTAGAGTAGCAGAAGTTATGTCGGAGCGAGGAAAAGAAAACTGGAGGCAGAAGTAGTGCACAGAAATCTGAAACGATTTCATTTTTTAAAATGATTTTTATTACAGTTTTCACAATACAATAAAATACTATTTGGAACACACAGAATCAAAAAGACAAGAAAGAGAGGATAGAGAGAGAAGGGGAACAAGACAGGAACAAGAAAGGAAAAGAAGAAAAGAACAGAAAGATAAGAAACATAAAAGATAAAGGAAGAAAACTTCTGGTTTTCTGTCTGCTGGTTACAATAGAAATAGATTATTTAAGGTGTTAGTATCCATCTTTTCTACATTCTGTTAAATCATATGAAATTTTGAACCATTTCAAGTGATTTTCTCAACACCGCAAAGTGCAACACCATTTCTACCAGGTTGGAAAACTCCACACTTCTTGTTTTTCTTTTTAAAGGATATAGGCAATTTGTTCTGAAAACAAATATTAAATAACAGCACTTGTGGAGGCCAGTTAGGTGGGGGCAGAGAAGGCAGAACCACCATTATGTGCTCCAGAGAATCTCCTGAAATGAAGCACAGAATCAAAGGGTTGGAAGGGACTAGGGTAATCTAGTCCAACCCTGGCAATGCACAAATCGCACAGCTAAAGAATCTCCTGCAGGCGACCATCCAAACTCTGCTTAAAAACTGCCAATAAAAGCAAGTTAGTGCAAGGTTTTTTGGAATTTGATTTTGACAGAAGTGATCAATATTACTAAAGAAGCTGCTATTTCTTGTCCAGAATGAATGCTACTGATTATTTTCGATGATACCAGTATCAACAGAACAGCTTTTATATATGATCTTGGCAGCTCAAACAGTCATTACAATTCTATGGAAAGCAGCCCAAAATCTTAACACTGGACGCTTAGTAGCTAGCACTTGCTCTGTAATAGAGCTATAGTGGAGAAAAATGCACATAATTTGATATTTCAACAAGGGCTAGAACCTCCAGGCTTTTTTTGTATGATTTGGCATTTCTATATGACATATACAACAGAAGCATCATTTCCTGAACAACCCTTGTCTCAAGCCTGGCAAAACTGGAATAATCAAATAAAGGGGATATTCTTTAATTGGACATTGTTATTTTCACCCAAGCGCAACCAGTCTCATTCTATGTGCCTATTTTATAGCTTCACTTTTTGTCTGTCAATCTTCACCTGTCGTTATAACTGTTCTCTGTTTTATGGAATAAAACGGAAAGCTTTACAATAAACGAACCTCCATAGAATTGTAGAATTGCAGAGTTTGAAGGGATCCCCAAGGGTCATCTAGCCCAACCCCCCATGTTTTCATGACGGTCTTCTCAAGGCATCTGGGAAGGGGGGTGGAATCCAAACTCCAGGCTTATCCACACTTCCTTTCCCCCATGCTTTCCACGCATAGTCCACACTTTAATGCTTTTTGTTTTCTCCAGAGCTCTCGCTGTGAAAACCCGCTCTTTGAAAGCTCAATCAGAGCAAACAGCAATCCACAGAAAACCCGAATTGCTGTTTGCTCCAATTCAGCTTCAAACTGCGGGTTTTCACAGAGGAAGCTCCAGAACAAACAAACAAAAAGAGTGGGGGGAAAGAGAGAAAGAGACTTTACAGCGAAGTAAGTGTGGAAAAGCTGGTCTTTAAAACGTAAGCAGTTTGCTTGCTTTTAGTACACAGACTTCCTCAGCTGAAGTCTCTGACCGTATTATTTTGCTGGGAACTTAACAAGATCTCCAACCACACGGAAGGGTAGGATGTTCCCCTGCAAGGTATTCTCTGCCTTGCCGACCTGCTCTGCAATACAACCACAGACTGCTGCTGCCACATCCTCCAGCCACCCCAAATCCAAAAGTGGGAAAGCATGGTGAATGCAACGTGCCACTGAGTACAGTGCCAGCCACCTCGCCTCTAAAAATATACTGCAGAGTTGGGAAAGGTTCGGAGAAGGGGAAACTGAAATGACCGTAGGGATGCAGCAGCTCCCCTACGAAGAAAAGTTGCAGAATTCGGGATTTTTTAAGCGTAGAGGAAAAAAGGTGACATGACTGAAATTTAAAGAATTATGCCTGGCTAGAGGAAAGTTTTCCTTCCTCGGTCCTAACACTGTAGCTCATGGGCATCCAACAAAACTGAATGCTGAAAAATTCAGCAGACAAAAAAGAAAGTGCTTATTTTAAGTACATACTTAAACTATGGGACAGGAGGCACTGATGGCCACCAACCTAAATGATCATGGCAAAAAGTTCTCCATCTTTTGGGAGACCCTAAATGCAGGCTTGCTTTGAGAACCAGATCTCGCAACTCTGGGACTTCATATTAACTGGACAAACTGACAACCCAAAGTCCCGAGAGAGTTGAACAGCCTAGAAAACCCCGACTTCTCAATCAACCTGGTCTTGTTTTATTACATATGCAATATCGGCAGAACACAGAATCCTAGAATTGCATTGGAAGGGGTTCAAGGGCAATCTAGTCCAAAAGCATTCAAAAGTCACAGGCTTCTAAATACATTTACCGAACTATACCTTTGTTTTTAAAAAAGGGCTTAAAATCAAATGCAATTAAATAGGCATTTGGTGCTCCAGGTTGGGGGGGGGCACATTGTTGAATACTGATGGAAGTTTATAAAATTATGCGTGATCTGGAGAAAGTGCAAATAACACCTGGAACTCATGGATGCTCAGTGAAGCTGAATGCAGGAAGATTCAGGATAGATCAAAGAAAGAACTTCTTAGTTAAATTGTGGGACTCTCTTGGCACAGGAGGCAGTGATGGTCACAAACCTAGATGGTTTTGAAAAAAAGGATGAGACAAATTCATAGAGGAGGACACAGCTATCAATGGCTACTAGCCGCGATGGCTAAGCTGTGCTTCCATGGTCAGGGGGCAGTGACAATTCTGTATCTCAGTTGCTGGAAACGGCAGGAGGGGAGAGTTGCTCCTGGGTTCGAATTCTGCTTGCAAGCTTCTCATAATGGAAATCTGGCGAGCGACGCTGATAACAGCAAGCTCCTCTTATGCTCTTATGTTGTATGAAAAAGTAAAGAAAATAAAATATTTGGCAGAGGTCTCCTATCATACAGACACTTTCTAGCTGTTATTTGGCATGCTATCCCTTTTTATTTGGAAGCGATGACCAATCATCCCACAAAAGGGTCTCAAAACTTCAAGACCCACATCGGTTACAGATGCTTCAGGTTACAGACTCTGCTAACCCAGAAATAGTACCTCGGGTTAAGAACTCTACCTCAGGATGAGAACAGAAATCGTGCTCCGGCGGCTGCGGGTGGCGCGGTTAGCTAAAGTGGTACCTCAGGTTAAGAACAGTTTCAGGTTAAGAATGGACCTCGGGAACAAATTGAATTCTTAACCTGAGGTACCACTATATTTAAAGACGCACACCTACCCCCAAATAAAATAAACCCTCCACTCCTAAACAGAGACCCCCCCCCCAAGAACGCGTGAAGATTTCAGGCTCTTCCAGAATCCTGCTCACAAATTCCAGTTCCACCCTTAAAAACTGATCTGCTGGGTCACTTGGGGGGGGGGTTTCTTCAATTTCATCAAAAAGTTTCCTCTTTTCAGGGACATCTAAATATGTCTTCCAACAACTTGATGCAGAATAATTCTTTTTGTCGCGCTCAGGGAAAAGTAGCAGCTAATAAATTTAATAAATGCTCATGATGATTTTGAAGGCTGGAGAAAAGGGGTCCTTTCCCAACTATGTGACTTGAAAAGAATATGACCCCCCCCCACCTCTCCTTCCTTCCACCTTCCGGGCTTTATTCCCTGACGGACAAAGTGGGGGTGCCCCCCAGAGGGTTAGTTCACCCTTGATTTTTTCCCCCACCCTAAAAGAGATAAACAGACTTATAAGATAAAGGATAGCCGCTCCCAAAACATCCTGATGAAATCAGTCTCCAAACGTCTCTGGATAATTAGCACTCCAACCGGGAATCTAAACATCTCTCAGAGGACTTTTTTTTTTACTCTCGCAGTTGAGAGGACTGTTTGGAAAGAAACATCTGCCATTGTTAACATTTCTTTTGCACAAACCAAGTACAGTACAGAGGCAGGCCTGGAATTGCACTGCAATTATTTTAATAAAAAGGAAAAATGTGAGGTCCCAACAGTGGACTTACAGGAACCCAGAAACAATGTTATTTATTTATTTAATACTGCTACATTATCAAACCTATTGACAACAATATAAAGATAAGCAAAAGCGCAGCTTTTTTAAGCGCTCCCAAGTTGCTGGGCCACCCCACCACCCCCCACTTAACTTCCATTAGCGTGGGTGCAAAAAGATGCACTTCCTATCATTATCACTTAGTTTTTAATTTTTTGTACGTCTTGCATTGCTGTTGGTAATTTTTCTTAGTGATCATTTTAGGAAACCACTTTGCTTTTTGGAAATCAAGCCGCCTGACCACATATATTATTATTTACATTATTAGATTTAATGTAGCAGCACCTACACTTCGGAACTCCCTGCCTATCCTCCGCTGTCCTGTTTTCGGTGCCTGTCGAAAACATTACTGTATAGACAAGCCTCTCGAGATGTTTAGAAAGTTGATGGGAATTTTAATCTGTTTTATTGTTATTTCAACTTTTCATCAGTCTTAAACTATCGTCCTCCTTTTTACTCAGAGATCATTTTGTTATCTTTTTTGTAAGCCATTTTGAGGATTTTTATTTCTTTTACAATCGAGCAGTGTGTAATTTTTATGAAATAAATAAAAAATAAATATCACATGGAGGGAGGACCCACACACTTTTCTCTACATCCAAGGATGCTTCTTGCCACTATTAAAGTATTTTTTCATTATGCTGCCATGTGCAGGGCACTCCATGGAATATTGTATTATGGGGACAGACAAGTCTCTGCCCCAGGGAGGTTCCAATTTGCATTTTGATGAGGGAGAAGTGGAAGGGCTGAATCCAAAACCTGTCCTCCTTGCCCAGCACAAGCTAGTACAATAGATATCTCAGGTTAAAATTAATGGGGAAAAGGAGAACCGGGAAGACTGGAAACCAGGCACTTAGTGAGACTTTCTGCAAAGTCAAACTCAGGAAACCCCACAGCCCAGTAAAGAGAAGTGGGTGATGCTTTGTGTCTGCAAACGCCTGGCAAACATTTCTGCAGCTGGGTCTGACAGACAGAGGCCTGCCAAGGCGGCATGCAGAAGGCCTGCTGGACAAATCAACACTATGCTGGCACCAATGTTTACCATCTATTCCTGGGTGTCTCAGTGGTTTTTCCAGGGCACAGTGGTTTTTCCTGGGCGCAGCCAGTAATAGTCTTTTTTGCTTCGACTCACTAAAAACTCAAAGTCTGGGTTTTGGGGTTCAGCTACTCTCAACAAGCCAGGTTTAGGGGTAGCCCCACAAACCACAGAAGGGCAGGGGATAAACCCGACCCCAGGGGTTGCTTGGTGCCAGACGAGGGGAGGAAGAAATATTCCATTTGCAGTGGGTCAATTTCCATTATCAGAGTGGGTCAATTTTGGGCGCCCTATTCAACGGCATTCACCAGGAACAACTACCTTCCCAGCCACACCCAAGAGTGGGCGCCAGCATCCAGTCTGGGTGCAACCTGAGATGACACTCCCCCCAGGTGAAGTGCTCAGGGCCCAAACAGAGAATCCAAGGAAGGAAGCAGGTCCCTTACGAAAACCCTCAAACACCTTAAGAGTGTGGCACTTAGGCCCCCCACCTTTAACTCAGCTCTCTGTCCCATTCCAACTCAGCTCTCTGCACACACACATACGCCAAGCCAAAATCCACTTTCCTGCAACAAAAGAACCCGTCACCCAATTTGACCCCTGCATCACAGGGGGTTGGACTGGGTGACCCTTGGGGGTACCATTCAACTCAAGAAGCCTAGTTTTAAAGCGGAGAGGAATGGGTGAAGAAGGGGTTGCCTGAGTGTAGCATTTAACAGGGGTGAAAGTTAGACAAGTCCTTGGAGGGGAAAGAATTAGTCCGTCGCCTATTAAGAGAAAGAAACTCCCGACTGGCAGAGAAAAAATAGATGGAAAAGAGGAGGCGCCCCCCCCCTACCAACGCACACCAGGAGACTCCTTTGTCTTCCACAATCTGGACAGTGCTGCCTTGATATTTCCTGTTTGCTCATTACGCGATTGAAAATCCAATTAAAAATACATTTTTAAAGAACACACAGGCAATTCGGACTCACTCGGTTTTCTATTTCAGCAACAAAGAAGTGCCATTCACCCCCAAGACAATAAATGAAAATTGGGGAGAGGGTTAAAAAATTAAGAGGGAAATGCAACCACCCACTCAGGTGCCCTTTCTCCTCCCCGGGAAAAAAACCCGAAACCGGACTCGGGACACGCCGGCGCCTTTCAGACGAGCGGGAGCGCCCGTTTCGCCCTCCGAGGCCGGTCAAGGGCGAAGGAACAACGCGGGGAAGGGAGAAGGGGACTCCAGCGCCCGCCCTGTCCAACCCAGCCCCGGCAGAAGGGATTCCTGGACAGAAGAGCCCGACGGAGCCGCTCCCGGGTTGGGACTGAAGATGCAGCCGGTGCTCCCCGCTCCGGCCTCGGCCGGCAGCCTCCCCAGCCCGCCCTCCGTCCCCGTCGAGGCTGCACGTACTTTGGGTTGGCGGCGCTCCAGGCGACGGGCTCGAGGCTCTTGGCCAGCAGTGGCGGCGCCAGGCGGCACAGGGCGAGCAGCAGTCCCAGCAGCAGCCGACGGCAGAGGAGGCGGCGGCCGTCGTGGGTCCCCTCCGGGCGGCCCATCCTCCTCCTCCGCCGCCTCCGCCGCCGGCTTTCCGGCGCCTGCGCTTCCGACTCCCCCTGTTAAATCCACACCACGAGCGAAAAGTAAATCCCCGATCCTCCACGGCGCCTCCTGCGGCGGCTTCAGGCAGCTCCTATAGCCGGCTGCGATCCCTCTTCCTCCGGCCAGGCTAAGCAATCCCTCCCGGGCTGCTCCTCCTGCTCGGTGCGCTCCAACACAGCGCACTCTCCGGCCGCCAAACCCCGACTGGCGCGCCGCGCACCCCTTGCCGCGCTCTAAACCCGCGAGCAGGCGGTCACCGAGGACAGCCCCCGTGCGTCGGCCAATGGCGGCGCGGCGGAGAACGGGTCCTGCCGTGAGTGACGGCTGCAGGAGAAGGCGGGAGGAGCCGGAGGCCACGCCCAGCTCGGGGAGGCGCGGCCGCGGCAGACGCTCCCGGGAACCGATCCCGCGCCTGCTGCTGCTGCTACCGCTTCTGCCGCGACGGCGCTGACTCGCGCGCTGCACGGGCCGGGCCGGCTCACGAGGAGACCTATTCCTACTCCGAGTCCTGACAGCTGCTGCTCCTCTCACAGGAGCTTGACCCGTTATCTCACAGGATAACGGGAAGGGAGGCAGCCGAGCTTTAATATCATTATTACTGTTAATAATTTATTAGTGGTATTATGTCATTGGGATTAATATAACAATACTAATTAATTTTGATATCTATTGTTTTATTATAGATTTTATTATTGGTGTCAATATATTGTTATTTATTCAGCAATAGTAGTGTCTATACTAATCATTTGTGAATATATTAATATTGATAAAATGTTTAAAAGATTTTGTATAGTATTGATGTATTGTTAATTTATTTACTGCCCACCCTTCACTGTCATGGTCCCAGAGGTAAAGGTACCCCTGCCCGTCCGGGCCAGTCGTGTCCGACTCTAGGGTTGTGCGCCCATCTCACTTAAGAGGCCGGGGGCCAGCGCTGTCCGCAGACACTTCCGGGTCACGTGGCCAGCGTGACAAAGCTGCTCTGGCGAGCCGGCACCAGCGCAGCACACGGAAACGCCGTTTACCTTCCCGCTATAAAGCGGTACCTATTTATCTACTTGCACCCGGGGGTGCTTTCGAACTGCTAGGTGGGTAGGAGCAGGGACCAAGCAACGGGAGCTCACCCCGCCGCGGGGATTCAAACCTTACGATCAGCAGAGGAGACTGCAGCATTAAAACACAATATTTTTTTAAAAAATAAAATAAAACAACTTCCAACCATAAAGGAGGAAACTTTTCCTTGGCTTCCCTCACGCTTGCCCTGCAAGGTAGGCATGGCGGCGGCACCAAGGGGCTTCGACAGATGTAGCAGCCTGCCAGGCCAGAGTGGAGACTTTCCTGCTTTAGGGAAGGGGGGCTCGTACTCCCTGCTTCTTTCTTTTCCCCTCCCTTGAGTAGCCTTTGCTACTTGGGGGCTCTCCAAGGCATCAGAGGTAGGGGGCGCAGGCCCAGGCCCACCTGAAGATGGTGCTGTGGGGGGGGAGAGATTGAGCTCAGGGCCTCCTGAAAAAGGTGGTCTGTCTGTCTGCCTCTTCCAAATGGGCCTAGAGTCACAGAATGGTACGGTTGGGAGGGACCCCCACAGGTGTCATGTAACCCATCCCTCTGCAATACAGGAATCACAGCTCACCTGGTTCCTTTCAGGAAGCTTTCCTGAAGGGACAAGAAGCCTGCTCTGCTCCCACCTGGCTAGAACGCACTGCCTCCACTTTATTCATAATCACGTTTTTAGGGGTGAGCTGGGGTTTTCTCGATGGGTGCAGGGGCTAAGTCCCAGTTCAGGTGCAGCCCTCTGCCCACCTGGCCAGGTCTCTTGGTACAACATGTCCCTCCCTCCTCTACATTCCCACCACCACCACCCCTTGGATGTCCCAAGTTTGCCAGTCCAGATCACACAACATAGAATCATAAACTTGTCAGCTTGGGAGGGACCCACAAGGGTCATCTGATACAACCCCTTCAATGCAGGAATCACAACTAAAGACTCCCTGATAGGTGTCCACCCAACCAGATGACGTGACCTGTAGTCCACAGAGGCCTCTGCTTGGACAAAACCTGAGCTGCCTTTTTTCTCTTTGCAAGGAGACTCCCAATGAGGGGGGAAGCCTGAAAAAAAAAACACCTTTCCATGCCTGGAACAACCTGGATTATACATACACAGTACTGATCAAATTCAGTGGTGAAATTGGGGGGGGGGGGCTGTTCCAGACCCACATTCCCTTAAATTTTGGATTTTGCCTCTTTCCAAGCAAGCTTGCTTGTTTATTGCATTTCCATCCTGCCTTCATTTAGCACCTTTATAATAGCACCTCTTTACTCTGGTTTTTTACATTTGAGGTTTGTAGTCTTATTTATTTTATTTTATTGCATTTATTTTGCGCTATTTCTGTGAAAGGGTCTTTTCCCTCCTCATTCAATCCCCACAACAATCCTGTGAGGTAGGAGAGGCTGCGAGTGAGTATCTGGCCCAAGGTCGCCCAGTGAGCTTCATTGCCAAGCGACAATTTGAACCCCGGTCTCTCCCAGGTCCTAGTCCGACACTCTAACCACTGCACCACACTGTCGTCCTACAGAATGGCTTCTCCCCTGCAGAACTACACTACTCTGAAGCCCTGAATTGTGTTTTTCTTCAGTGAATAACTTTTTTGAGGGCAATTTTAACATGTAAAAGTGAAGATTTTCAGTGCCTTGTTGCTTACATTTGTATCAGGGATGTCCCATTTAAAGGAGGTCTAGAAATTCATCCCCCCCCCCAAAAAAAAAAATTACAGTATTGTTAGTGGGATTATCGAAAGGGAAGCCAATGGCACTCCTCAAAAATGAACCAATACCTCCCTCTTGTGGCCAGGAACAGCCACTACTGGCTTCACTCCTGCTCCCCCTTCAGGTGAGTCATTCATAAAAACCGTGGAAAGAATCAAAATATAAAACAAAAATACTTGTCAAATTACCTTCTTGCTGCCGCATGTCTATTGATTGCTCCAAAGAATATAGGGGAAATCATGACATGAAAAGCTTGCCTGGTACACTCATTTTTTGAAAGAAAAAACAAAGGCAGCCACTTTTTTCTCCCTTTGTTTGTATCTATTTCTTGTAATGGTAAAAAGATACAAGTTTGTAACATCTTATAAAAACTACAGTTTAAAAGCGCCAGGGTAATACACACCCTGCCCCAATTCCCTCCCGTATAGCAAAATAAGTGAATTATTGAATACATTAGAAAAAGAATATTGGCATATGTCTCTTCCGCAAACTTCTTGAAAAATTAGTGATAAGCAACATCTAAAAATTGGTTGACAATGTTTCTTGATGTAGAATCATAGAATTGTTGAAAGGCACCCCAAGAACCATCTAGTCCATGCAGGAATCTATGTAATACAGACTTTTTTATTCTTGGTGCTGTTTGTGTCTGTGATGGTTTCAGGTATAGGTTTATGTTTCTGTATATCTTTTAGGTTGTGTGCATCACACCTCTTGCTCTCTCCTTTCTTGTGATGGTACCCTCCACTGTCTGCATCTCATCACAAATATCCAGATAACCTGCTTTACCATTTACTCTGGTGAATGCAACGTCCCATGCTAGCCTTGTACTTAGTAAATCAATAGTAAGTAAGTAAGTAAATAAGTAATCGTAAGTAAATAGTAAGTAAATAAATAGCAATGCTTCCTTAATATTTACTTCCTTACTATTTATTTACTTCCTTACTATTTATTTATTTATTTACTTGCTTACTTACCGATACTTACTATTGACTTACGATTACTTATTTACTTACTTATTTACTAGTAAGTTAATAGTATGTAAACAATAAATAAGAAAAATAACTAAATAATACATAACCAAATAATTAAATAACAGTCAAGGGGGATGTGTCCAATGCTAATCCTACTCAGAGTAGAAACATTGAAGTCAATGGATGGGACTGAGCTGCCAGGAGTTGAGAAGTCTTCCACCCTGGGATGGAGGTGATAAAATGGATGAAAAGCTGATTGGGTAATTCTATATATAACTGGACTTCTCTGCAACCCATCCCCTCTGCAGGGAGGTGGGACCAATTTGGATGGTCCGCCCCCGCCACTTAATGGATCCAAATGGTTTCCAGAGAATGGTAGGGGATGTTTTATCCCGTGTTGATGGCCTTTCAGCCGATTCCCTGGTGGCCCGCTGGAATGTGGAGTTAACCAGGGCTATTGACTGTTTGGCTCCGAAGCACCCTCTCCGATTGCATGGAGCCCAGACAGCCCCGTGGTTTTCCACGGATCTGAGGGCAATGAAACAATCGTTGAGACGGCTAGAGCGCCGGTGGCAGATAACTCATTCCGAATCTGACCGGACACAGGTTAGAGCTCAACGTCGAGCCTACCAAGTGGCGATAGCGATGGCGAAGAAGACTTTCTTTGCCGCCTCTATTGCATCTGCAGAAAACAGCAGCAGGAGACTTTTTCAGGTGATTCACAATTTAGCGGAACCACCTGCGACATCTGGGCCCAGTACGGGCCACATGATCTCCTGCAATGATTTTGCAAAATTTTTTGCAGATAAAATCGCTCAGATTTGGGAAGAAGTAGACTCCACCGTGGGAGCAGGGCCAGGGCGGGAGAGTGCTATAGTCCTGTCTAGTCAAGTTGCGTGGGATCAATTCCAACCTGTTACCTCCGAGGATGTGGACAGGCTGCTTGGACGAGTGAAGCCAACCACCTGTCTCCTGGATCCTTGCCCATCCTGGCTAATAAAAGCTAGCCGGGAAGGACTGGGCGATGGGCTTCGTGGGGTGGTGAATGCTTCCCTCCATGAGTGAGCCTTCCCAGACCCGCTGAAAGAGGCGGTTATTAAACCGCTTCTTAAAAAACCATCTTTAGATGCGGCCACGATGGCCAATTATCGCCCAGTCTCAAATCTTCCATTCTTGGGCAAGGTGACTGAGCGAGTGGTTGCTGAACAACTCCAGGCATGCCTGGAAGAAGCAGACCATTTGGATCCCTTCCAGTCAGGATTCAGGCCTCATCATGGGACTGAAACTGCCTTGGTCGCACTGGTTGATGATCTCCGGCGGGCTAGGGACAAAGGTGAGAGCTGTTTCCTAGTTCTGCTGGATCTCTCAGCGGCGTTTGATACCATCGGCCATAACATCCTTCTGGACCGTCTTAAGGGGCTGGGAGCTGGGGGCACTGTCATACAGTGGTTCCGCTCCTTCCTCCTGGGCCATGTTCAGAAAGTGGTGGTGGGGGATGAGTGTTCAGACCCCTGGGCTCTCACTTGTGGGGTGCCTCAGGGTTCTGTCCTCTCCCCCATGCTTTTCAACATTTACATGCAGCCACTGGGAGAGATCATCAGGAGGTTTGGGCTGGGTGTTCATCAGTATGCGGATGATACCCAGCTCTACCTCTCTTTTAAATCAGAACCAGTGAAGGCGGTGAAGGTCCTGTGTGAGTGCCTGGAGGCGGTTGGAA